CTGTACATGCTGCCCGCCGTCATCGTCACGCTTCCTTTTAAATACTAAACCTCACACATCTTTGCTGTGCTCTGTTCCATACACCACTTGTGTACAGTTCAAGTGCTCACCGAATTAAGTCGACATCCTCCTTCATAGCCGCCGCAGTACATAGACCGAGATTGTTTCCAAGGTTGCCACGCCACAGCCATGTCTGCAAATTGTACGTCGCAATTCGATATAACTACCTAGTGTTTGTTGCACACACTCTGCAGTGAACTTCTGGTTGGATCTGCTATCATACAGACTCTACACCTATGAATTCACTGACTTCTCCCAGTGACAAGCCACGCCACTACCACCGAAACACATCAGTCTTGGTCCAAAGAAGCTATCCTCGCCATAATCTCATTGCTTATCACGCTGCTACTGTCTGGCATGGGTATAGTTTGCAGGAGCCGTATGAAGGCACCGGATTTCTGGATGCACAGATGGGGAGGAATACTCATGAACGGTATGTTTAGGATGAGTATCTGCCTTACAACGTAAGCCTGATACTATACAGAAGAAGAGCTCGCAATAGCCCGCACCAAATCAATCATGACTGAGTGGGTCGATATCGCGGATGTCCGGCGATACCAGCAAGATACATATACATCAATCCTTCGGATGAGGCGCGGACCCAGGTTGTCGAATACTTCAAGTCGAGTGAACGACATGCGGTGGTGATGGGCGGAGGTGACGACTTTTTGAAGATGCCCCGGGTGGCAACAGTGACAGGATTGTCCGTGCAGGGTTCACCACCCAACACACTGTGGCTGTGGCTGGAAGCACGAAATGCGTGGGATGGAGGTGGGGAGAACGGTGGAGACATTTTAGCGCACGACCATGTGTTGTGGCTACCTAATTCGCTGAAGTGCCTCGTTGGCAACATCATCAACGCACAACTTCGCTCAAGTGCCCTCCATGGGCATTTGCAGTGGAATGCAGCCTAGAGGCGGCGAGCAAAACAATACAGATAAGCCACAATCATGTGGCCACTGCGCCACTTATCCTATTTTCCTACAGCTTCGCAATAAATCAGCGTTATAACACATCATAGATATGGGACTCGAGTCAATGTCAATTACAACAAGCTCGAAGTACCTTGAACATTCTGCGACAGATCATCAAGCTTATTGAATTTAGGTTGTATATGCTTTGCTTCAACGAATCTCCATATGATGCGATCCTACTCGGTGGCAGATGCTCTCGCCGCCTTCTTTTTCTTCTTCTTGTCTTTCTTGCTTAGCGGGACAACATCTTCCAACTTGTTAGAGTCCTCTTGTTCGGTCTTCACTACCTGCTCGGGCTCATCTACTACTAGCGCACCACTATCAGCCTTCGTTTGTCCGTCGATAGGAGTCACCAAAGGCTGCTCGACCTGTACCACGGAGTCTGAGCGTACGTGAACGGGTGCTTTGGTCTCTACTGAGGAGATAGCGCTAGCCTTGACTTGCTCTGGTTTCTTGTTACCCATCTGTTGGTAGGTCTTCGAGGACTTGAAGTCTAGCTCGTCTGTGAAGGGCTCAAGCGTTGCTGGCTTTTCCTCTGTGGGTTGAGCGTCTTCTGTCTTCAGAACAGCATCCTTGGTGGGCTTTGGAACGATGATGTCTTCTGCAATGGGCGCCTCAGTAACGTCGTCTCTTGGAGCAGGCACGGAAACTGCGGTTACTGCGGATTCACCTGCCTCGTCGGTCTTTTGTGGCACAACTGCGGAGACATCATTTTCATCACCGGTCGATTCCTGCAGCTCCGGCACAAGTTCAGCTGTTGGAGTGCTGGTTTCCTCGTTGTTGGCTGCAGGTGTTGCTGGCGCTCGAGCGTAGTTGTTCATCACAGTCTTCCAGACAAGTTGTAAGAGCTTGCTATCGGACCCCACTGAAGTGATAAAATCAGGCTTTCGGAATGGCTCAGGATCATCTGCCATGGCGTTGTTGAGTGAATCTTCGACGTAGCTTGGATACCACACATCATCCTCTGGTAGTAGAGGGAATGCAACATCCCTCGCTACAGAAAGGATATCGAAAATGCTCATTTCTTCGTCGAGAGACTTCATCTTATTCTGGGCCAACTCAGCAAGCCCTGGTAACTTATAACGAGCAGCAGCGCAATATACACTGGTACCCAGTTTGTACAATTCAGGGATTATCTTGTCGGAAGACGCCAAGATACTGAGGCTTTGGAATTTGCCAGTGTACAAGTAGTGGATCAAAGTATGTGCCGTGTTCTGGTCCAGCTCCGGAAGAAGTACTGGTTGTTGGACGAAAGCTACTGGAAAAGACTTCGCCGCGAGAACCTTGCTCCGGCTCAAGACACTATCGTGTACAAGAAACCGGGTCGGTTCCGGTCCAACGTCCAGTGCAACTATCTGTGTAGTCGCATATGGGCTATTTGAAAGCATCAGTACCTCTCTGCAAATGTTTTGTGGTATATAACTTACGATTTCTCTTCGGAGCTGACGACCATGTCTCCTGTTCCATACGCGTACCCGCCCATGCCGTCGCTCTCATGCGATACATCCAAGGTGGAGTTGTCGCTCACAGACATGTTGCGAAGACACTAGATGGCGATTCTTAGTACTAAGGAAAAAGCTGGACTAAACACCTCCCTTTATCCACATTAGCCATCACTTCGAAAATGAGGCTCAAATTACATGCGCTGTCACCCATTCCAAGACGCGGGGTTTTATATGCACTCATGAGTTGTCAAGTCGAGTGCATTCTCAGCCTTGTGGGTGCGGTGATCTTGTTGGTCAGCCACTTCGTCCTTCACTGCACCCCGCGAACGGTGCGCCCAATAGAGGATGCGCAATCGCTGAGCTCAGCAACACCGGTGAGATCGGGCGTAGATTCATCAGTGCTGGTTACTTCTAGACTATGCACTTCTACCCGATGGTTCTACTAGTGTATACTGCTAGTAGGTCGCGATCTTGGTCGTGCCACTCGGAGAGTTTACTAACATGCGCTTCTAGTACTCTTTACCTCTTGCTATATCCAAGCGCACCTTGACCAAGCCAGCGAAAGATCCAGGGAGAGAGAGACAATACAGAGTACTGAATGGAAGATGCAGACCTACCCTGGTATGATCTCGTCATTTATCCTAAGAAGTGAAGCTCATTGGTCAGAGCCGCATGACAGATCGTGTGATCATCAGTATCTCAACCTCACTCCCTCTTCAAAATGAGAAGGAAGACTGCTTCACCTCGACAGCGGCATCGGACATAAGACTGTGTTGCTATGCAATACTTCAGACAAGAATGCAAGCTTACCCAGGTAGTAGTTGTATACAACCACGGAAGTATGACCTACCAAAGAAAGGCAGGTCCTCAGGACTTATCTCTGTCGATGGTGAAAATCTCCACACCTAAGGTTTATATGTCTCCATTTTCGTGGATCATCTTGGCGACACTCAGTCGGATCGATCACTTACAGTCCCACGCATCGATTGATACAGTCTATCAGTCTTCTCTGATGAAAGGTGTCTTTTTCTGGTTGTGCAATTCGGAGAGAGAAACATCCTTGTGAAAATATGACTCTAGTCCACGGACGGACCTGTAGGTGGCACGGCGACGAACAAACGGAATGTTACTTTACCTGGCACGCGGTTGACACAAAAGAATGCACTGCAAAATCTCTACTTTCTACAGGCTTTAAACAGCGTAATAGAATAAGAGAATTAAAATTCTAAATAAGCAGATTAATACAGAATTACCTCTTCTATTTTCCTAGCTACTTTGTTTTTCTTATACTATTTGCATTGTTGTGCAAGAAAGCTAGAAAGAGAGGTATATTACTATAGTCTGCTACAACTCGCTTATTTTGGTGAGGATTTGGGGTTTTGGAGTCGGCTCTTTTTAGTCAACCGCGTGCCTGGATCGGATTAGCACGACTGAGCCGCAGAGACTACAACATAACTTCACAAATTGACATTGTTCGAATCTTGCCTGCACACCCCAAGGACGCTTTACTTACCTCCTGCTTCACTGATGCTCGCAGTTTCAAACTCACCCGGTGCTGTTCTCCGCTTCTAAAGAAGAGCTCGTGATGAGGGAAGTCCAAGTGCCTCAGACCAACGACTACACACCGCCAACTGACACAAAATCCATATGTTTTTCTTCATACAGTCCCAAGGTCTGGACGTATCTCGCTCTTGCTGCCTACTGGCTTCTTGTTCGCGTTCTCCGTTATAGACGTCGTGATGGCGTTTCTCGTCGCCTCAATGTAAGCAAAGTATGGCCAACACTGATGAAATTAGGACTCTGACAGACCATTCAGTACCCAGATCGCTCGTCGTGGAGTCGTATGACACTTCAAGATGCGCATTCCATGCAGCTCGCTCTTGCCGAATTAGAGTTCCCGACCGTGTTTTCTGTTTCCGTGTTCTTCGCTCTCTTCAAGACGTATGGCATCCCCAGCATTTGTAAGCTGCTGGTCGCAACAGGACAGTTGTTAGATCCTGAGACTGCATCCAAACGGGCCGCGGATACTGGCGTCGTGATCACTGAGGTAGTGCTAAATAAACCGGACTCTGAAAGAGCGATTAGTGGCATAGCATTCATGAATTACCTCCATGGTCGATACATCAAGGCTGGGAAGATATCGAATGACGATATGTTATACACCCTGAGTCTTTTCGTGCTCGAGCCAATCAGATGGACGGCCAAATACGAGTGGCGTGGTGTAACGGACTTTGAGAGATGCGCCATGGGCGTCTACTAGAAAGATCTGGGTGAGGCGATGAACATATCGTACGATACTCTACCTTCTGCGGGCCAAGGATGGCGAGACGGTTTGCACTGGCTCGAAGAATTGGAGGCGTGGAGCCTCGCCTACGAAACCCGGAATATGGTACCCGCCGATACGAATGCAACACTCGCTCGCGGCACGTTCGATATCGCCTTATTCAACGTGCCTTCCATTCTCAAACCGTATGGGTTCACTATAGCTTCTTCGTTGCTCGAGCCACGTTTACAGAAGGCGATGAAGTAAGTGGATACAAAAAGGCCTTTTCGCATCAAGTGTGTACCATACTCACCATGCCCCAGATTACCGAATCCACCAGCCGTCTATACACAGATCCTTGAAACTGTCGTCGAGATTCGGAAATTTGCATTGCGAAACTTCTTCCTCCCTCGACCGCACTTCCTACGTAAAGAATGGTTCACAGAACTCGATGGAAAGACTGGACGCGCCCACTTCGGCCAATACATTGCTCATCCCTGGTATATAAAGCCAACATTCATCACGAGATGGGGTCCGAAGGCATTATTACTGCGACTTATCGGAGGCGCCGTTCCAGGACATGAAAAGTACCATCCAGATGGATATCGAATTCATGAGCTCGGTCCCTCGGAGCTCGTAGGAAAGGGTGACACTGAGATGGGTAAAACGAGGGAAGAATTAAGAGCGCGAAGAACGGGGTGTGTCTTCTCTCGACGATGAATCACATTTACAGAAGATGGTGTTCGAGAAACGGAAGGTCTTAGTGAGATATCCAAGGGTCTACGGAATGGTTCCGCAGCTGCATCCACATGGCGGAACGCTAACCCCGCGCGTCCACCCCGCGGTGATACATATAGACTGTTTGCTCTCCAATGTATGATAAAAGATCTCGCTTCAGTATCTTTATTCCCTGTATCATCAATAACTCATTATGGCGACCACAAAAGTAGCATTGATCACAGCCAGCTCGGCAGGATTGGGGGCACAGATAGCACGAGTATTTGCGCCAGACTTCCGTGTGGTATGTATAAAACACTTCGAATTACATACTTTCCCATGCTTTAGAACTAAGAGTGGTAGCTAACATCACCTAGGTAATCAACTATTCATCAAACTCGGATCGGGCACAATCTCTCATGAAGGAACTCTCATCCATACCAGGCCCATCCTCAGAAGCAAACCCACGCTTCCACCTCGTCCAAGCAGACATGTCCTCGAAACCATCGGTTCAAAATCTCGTAAAAGAGACTATCGAAAAGATGGGCCGATTAGACGTCGTCGTCTCTAACGCAGGCTGGACGCGCATGACGACCTTTACCGACATTGAGCAGCAAGTCAACGACGACGATTGGGACAAGTGTTTCACCATGAATGTAAAAACACACATGTGGCTGGCATATGCTGCGAAAGATGCCTTGGCCGAAAACGAAGGATGCTTTATTTCGACAGCGAGTGTAGCGGGTGTGAAGCCTAGTGGAAGCAGCGTTCCTTATGCTGTTACCAAAGCAGCGCAGATTCATCTTGCAAAGAGTCTTGCTGTCATTCTGGCGCCGAAGATTCGTGTGAATAGCATCAGTCCGGGTATGCTACTCACAGAATGGGGGCTCAAGTTTCCAGAAGCGAAGCGCAATGCTGCGATCAACAACACCAAGTTGAAGAGGTTGGCTACAGTGGAAGATTGTGCGGATCAGGTCAGAGTGCTGGCGCTGAGTAGAAGTATCACTGGGCAGAACATCTCGATAGATGGCGGTTCTTCAGTCTAGCTACGCGACGCGACTAGCTAGAGAAGAGGGTTGTTGGACCATCTGAAACGGAGTGTTTGTCTAGGTCGGGAAAAGATGCTGCTTCTGCCCCGATGAGTGCTGAAGAGCTTACTGTGGTACGACTCGACAGACTTCAGCAGTGTACGAGAAACTATGCGAGTAGTCAACTGAACGGCTATCTTTCAATCCTTGTGTGCTTTCGTCATGGTCATCGTTCAGCTTTTAGGCGTAAGAACGAAGCGTGGTGCAACGACCGTGACTTGCACAAACTAGGCTTGTGCTACACCAAGACTCGGTCGACTCTTATGCGACATACTGATTGTGGAATGTGTATATTTTCGGCACGTTTGCTGTTCGTCATCCGACGGAGAACTGCGTGCGACCGCAGACTTACTTCCGTTGCACAGGCGCCTCGAGAAACAGCCTAGGTGAGGCGTAAAGTGTGCAATGTGTATAATTGTGGAAATGTAAAATTCGAGATCCTTCCCAGCTAGTCAGCCGATTCATGACACTGGAACGAACGGCGATCGATGGCGAACTTGCTGCGTAGTATCTTTAGGTCGGCGTCTCTACTGAACTTTCAATGTCGCCAACAGTATTGCCCAGCGCGGTAGTAAAAGGGCACACGTCAATGAGAGAGCAAAAGGAGCAGCCAAGCTGACGCGCTCTTACACCAAGCTATCAGTATAAGACATATACTCCGGCGTCAGCGAAACAGGACCGGTCGGAGAATTGATAGGGCGCGATGCACCAATGATCCGATCCAAGGTTACTTCAGACGCGTAGTCAGGGCTCCGGCTTCGGAGCGCCGTCATTGGCCCGGCGCGTTTTCGCATCCTTAGAAACGTGCTGGAATTGCACAACCTGCGATACATTCAAGATAAACAAGTGCGATCCCACACGTCAATAATGCTGGCGCGGAATGTCAATCAAGGGTGTGAAATATTGTGGAAAGTGGACAGTCGCGTGAGAGCCAACGATGCTGCTGTGTCCAATTCCAGTTTCCCCACGCCAGAGGAATGTACTACAGTATCGACCTCTCCACGAGCCCACCACGGCGGCCACGAGCCCCACCGCCTCGCTTCTGGGGAGCAGACTCACATGCTTTCGCGACAGTTTGCCGCCAAGGGTCGCCGGGCGGGTACGGGAGGCTGACATGCAGCTGAGCCCTACTCCTGCCACGCCCCACGGCTCGTGGTGCAAAAGAACACAACGGCTTCAGCTGCTTATGCCACCTTGACGTTGTTTCGTGTCAGCCGCGGAGACACAGAGACAAAGGGCATTGATTGCATTGCTTCTCTAATGGCGGTCCACGTTGTTGACAGGCGTATCCAGGTCGCCTTTAGGACGCGCGAGGACATGGCCATCGGGAAACAGGGTCTGATAGTCTTTACTCTCCGGCAAGTAGCCCGGGTCACTGGAAATAACTGAGAGAATCGTCTGAAAATAGTCCCAATTTGGGCGTTTGACGAGGTTAGACTGCTGACCGTGTGGGTACCTGTTACTGGCCGGTACCACAGTGGCCGCGGTCAGTCGAAGAACCACAGATGCAGGCCGGTCGGACGGGTGTCTCGATCTGCTCAACCATAGCCGGATTTTGCACGCCGCGGTCTTTCTGCAGGGCGTGCGTAAGTAGCGCCGTGTCGCAACGGCAAGACCAGAAAAACCCAAAGATTGGGTTTCTCAAAGTTCGTTGGGCGCCCGATGTTCGCCCGACTGTCGTGTCGTGGATCGATGTCGCGAGACTCTGGGGTGAGGAGCACTAGACGCGAGAAGGATGGCGAGCAAACCGCCGTGGTCATCTTATCGCACACAACGTACGTGAATCGCATAAACAAATCGTCAGGGACGGGGTGGCGTTCGCTGGTGTCTAGTGAGAACGCGTCGCAGGGCGGCCGGCGAAGATGCGGCACCCAAAGCAGCTAGCGTACGCAGCATCCGAGGTGGGCGCTGATTGGGCGACAACGACTTCTTATCTTTGGCCAGAAATGCAATTGACACCACGCAACATTGACCACCCACTCGCCAAGCCTTCCGCCCCGGATGAAACTGGAGTTGCCTGCAATAGCATATGCGAGTTCATGTTGAGCCCATGCCAGAGAGGCGCCGCTGCGAGGCCTGTCCCTACAGACAGAAGCGACGTGGCCGCCAGTGTGGGTGCTGCTCGTTATCTGCTACGCCTCTCCGTCACATGTTTGCATGTTGCGCGCGCGGCGAGATAAGGCGTTAGATCGTTAGGAGCAGCAATGACGCAGCGGTGCGATCAATCGCGGCAGAAAAAGAACAAAGCTCCATGGCTGGATCTAACGCGAACCCCACGACGGTCGCGGCTGTGGGTGATGTACCCTCGTCTATTTTGCCTCAAGTGTTGGCCCGTGGACCAGGATAGATAAGAGTAGTACAGCAAGTTCCACCCATAAAGGTCCCGGCGCATCTACCGTAATCTACAGTAGGGCTTCCGACTTCTCCCTGTAGCAGCCGTATATTACTGGCACCGATCCAGCTTTTAATCCCCTTCTCTTCCCCTTCCACAGGCCTTACCGTGGAACCGTCTCATTCCCCATAGTACTCAAGGACCCCGTATATCCTTAGTACCCCGTCAATCCCCTAGGACACGCCCACCATGTCGTACTCATGGATCGGCCCTCCGACCCAATTCAATGGCACCGATGATATCACTGGTGGTGATTCTCGTGAGTACAAGTTCCCATATGCTACTTGCGCACGTGCCGAGCGCAACACGCATCTTGCGCAACCAGAACACTAACCAGTAAACCTCAGTCACCGAGAACCTTAACCAATGGTACGCCGCGGGTGACCAGGCCTACATTCTCGTGGCCTCGGCCATGGTGTTGATCATGATTCCTGGTCTCGCATTCCTCTACTCCGGTCTTGCTCGAAGAAAGTCCGCCCTCTCCCTTATTTGGGCTTGCATGTTCTCCGCGTCCGTCATTACTTTCCAATGGTACTTTTGGGGATACTCGCTCGCCTTCGGTCCCTCGACAAACGGTTTCATCGGAAACCTTGACAAGTTCGGTCTTAAGGGTGTCCTTGGTGCTCCCAGCCCAGGTAGTCCTCTGATTCCTGAGCTGCTGTACTCTTTCTACCAGGTATGGCAAACGTCATCATATTGTGGTCTTATGCACTAAAACGTCTCTAGATGCAATTCTGCGCTGTCACTGCTGCCATTGTCGTCGGTTGCGTTGCTGAGCGCGGTCGCTTGATCCCTATGATGGTTTTTATCTGGTTCTGGGCCACGATCGTATACTGCCCCGTCGCATACTGGGCTTGGAACTCGAACGGCTGGTTCTTCGTATGGGGTGGACTTGATTACGCTGGTGGTGGTCCCGTCGAGATCGTTTCCGGTTGCTCAGCTTTGGCCTACTCCATGATCCTCGGACGTCGCCAGGAGAAAATGATGCTTAACTTCCGCCCTCACAACGTCTCCCTGATCACCCTTGGCACTGTCTTCCTATGGTTCGGTTGGTTGGGCTTCAACGGTGGTTCCGCTTTCGGTGCCAACCTTCGCGCTGTCATGGCGTGCTGGAACAGCAACCTTACCGCCATGTTCGCCGCCATGACTTGGGTTCTCCTCGATTGGCGCCTAGCTCGCAAGTGGTCCATGGTTGGATGGTGCTCAGGTGTCATCTCTGGACTTGTCGCTGCCACTCCCGCTTCCGGTTTCATTCCTCCATGGGCTAGCGTTGTTCTCGGTATCACTACTGGTATTGTTGCTAACTTTGCTACCAAGAGTACGTATTCTTAGAAAAGTCCGCTCGCGTACCGCTCGCTAACACAACTTTAGTCAAGTTCTGGATCAAGATCGACGATTCCCTCGATGTGTTCGCTGAGCACGGTGTCGCTGGAATGTGGGGCCTTTTCTTCAACGGCATCTTCGGTGCCGACTACATCATCGGTCTTGACGGTGTCAACAACGGACTTGCCGCTGGTGCCATCACCGGTGAGGGAGCCGCAGTCTACAAGCAGATTGCTTACATCGTCGCCGTCACCGCCTACTCCTTCGTTGTCTCCGCCATCCTCGCTTTCGTTATCGACAAGATTCCCGGCCTCAAGCTTCGCGCATCCGAGGAGGCTGAGCTCCTCGGTATGGACGACGACCAGCTCGGTGAATTCGCCTACGATTACGTCGAGGTCCGTCGTGACTACCTCGCCTGGACACCCGCTAAGGGCGAGCCAATCGACGGTGAGCACTCTGTACCCCAAGGCGAGCGTCACGGCATTCCCCAGCACAGCCAGATGCTTGAGGGCAAGGCACCTTCGGAACACAGCTCAGGCCACGAGCACACCGGCATTGCAGGCGACAGGCATGCCATGGCTATGGGCTCTGAGCACGAGAAGCAGGTTCAAACCTAAGCTTTTGTTGTATTGCAGATTTGGATTTGTTGCTTGCGACCTTTTTGAGTCAAAACTGTTTCGAGATACCACTTGCGCTCCCGTCTTTGAGCTGTGCTTTTTGACATATACTTTAGACCTTCGACTAGTTTTTCTTTACCCATGTATTGTACATAATTCGAGAATGGATACACTGAACACCATACTACGTCAACATATTCACTTGCTTATTTCAAATCCCTACAAGACTATTCAAAGGATGTTCAAGCACTCGGAACATTATTGGACGCAGCGCCCAGCTTCCTTATCAATCTAAGCCTGATCGACTTACTTCTTTTGTCGCAAGGCGTTTACCATGCAATTGTGCCAAGCCAACTCTCCATGTTTCCTTATCTTTTCCCGCTCCTCCAGGACGGCGATCGACAATGTTTGTTGAACCCCGGATTCTCTAGTAAGATGATGTCAGAGTACCGCGCTACCACCGAAGCTAATCATGACAGATGCACGATGTAGGTCGATGCAGACTCTCGTCGTAAGAATCGCTGATGCTCACCGCCCGTCACGATGTCGCTAATACGCCAACCCTTTCTTATCTCGACATCAAGGAACATTTGGGCAGGTTTCATACCCTCCATATCACATTCATTATCTACATACGGAAGTTCACTGGTCCAGCTACCGCGGCCATTTCATGCCAAGCTTGTTGGCTTCGTCTCCCGACGTTCACTGGTCTCGATCCCAACACCAAATGTTAAAGCACGGGAACTACCATACCTCGCCGATCTGAAAATCGCGCCGTTTGCGACCTTATCTCTGGGTAAGCATAGGTACCCGCAGGGGCGGGTGGGTGTGGGGGAGGCTGTGCCTTGTGTGGAGATCGAGATGCCTGCCATATACGTGGATTCCGCACAACTCCACCACCGGCTAAGAGCTGGTTTGGCATCTGGTGGTGTGATCCAGAATTAGAAATGAGACATGTAGTCATCGGCTTCGAGTAAGTAAAGGGATGGAACACGCTAACAAGGCGATGTTATGCTGTTCGCATGCTCAAGTGAACAAAGCGAAGACATGCCCGTGACGTTAGCAAAAGATCTTCGAGGCAAGTACATCAGACAAAGGAACCGCCGTGTGGTTTGCACAAGACCACCATAGCGTAAAACTGGATTGCGATAACAAAGGCCACTGTCGAACACAGCTTTGTCGACGTCCATCACAACTCTTCGCCCATGTTTCAAAGAAGTAGCGCAGCTCAGGCTGCGACAGCACCTGACATTAGGGATGCCTGTAGAAAAGACAGATTTTGCTCGATGGTGGAAGCTAGTAAAGCCCGTGTTTCTATCAAGTTTGCACGAACGATAAACTTGCAACAACCACTGTAAGATCTTTTGAAACGAACGACTGCTGTTTGTAGATATCGTGGTTAGCCATCACTCTTAGTGAAGAGCTCACTCGACCCGGAAAAACATATGAGATGCCTTACCATAAGTTACGGAATCCTCTCCGCATTTCTGCAGCACCCTTCAAATCTTCACTTCTCTCCATACCACCATCACCGTTTTCACCGCGCACGCCTCTCACACCTGTTCTTCCAAACCGACAACGAGATGAGAAGACAAATCAACAAAGCGTTGTAGTTTACCCAAAACCTCCTATCGAGGCGCCAACAAGTCCCTTGTCATGGATGTGGAAGTGCCACCAATGCCGTCACAGCTACCGCCTAGGCGTGACACGACGCTGTCTCGAAGATGGGCACCATTTTTGCAGCGGTGCTACCGCCATCAAGACTGTACAAAAGTCCAGCAGCCCACATAAATCCCGACAACATCGCGCCTGCGCCAGTGAGTTCGATTACTCCGGTTGGAAGACAGTGGGTCGATGGCGCCGAGGTGGCCCAAAATGCAAGGCCATAGCATATACAGGCTCACAGGCAGATAGCCAGGACAAACTCCCAAGGCAGCAAGATTGTTGGAACACATGTGACTACCCATCCGAGTGTCGTTGGGGTAAGCGATTCGGTATCCACACACCTGTCGAAACGTCTTTCCCTAGTATCGAAGTCAACTCCATGCCGTCACTAACTGCTCCTGTCAATTTCATGCCTCGAAGCACACTCACGCGCCAGAACTGTCGTAACATACACACACCGAGGCAAGCGGACAAGACCGACTTTTGGGGCACACTCCTAGCAAGCGCGGAGCGCCGGAAAAGTGCTGGTGAACGCGGTGCCAGTCAGCTTTGCAATACCATGGAGAAGAACAAGACACAGAGACAAGGCGGTAACACTCCAGATGAGAAGGACAGCGACGGCGATGTAGCCATGGAAACCGTCGACCCAGCTCTTCTTGATCGTCCAGGTAACACACCTCTATCAACTCATTCTGACACGTCAACTGCAGGCTCTCTCAGAGGCTTGGTTAGCAGAACACGATATCGACGCGTCAAGTCGCGCTCTAAAGTGCACAGTACGACTGACAAGAACTATGTTGGACCAAAACCTATGGTGCCGAGACACCTGACAACGGAATTAGATGACCAGGTCAGTCTAAACGAATCAGACATGTTGATAGAAGGGTTTGCCCCGTTGCATCGTGTGCAAAGTAGAGGGGTGGGCTATCAGTCTTGTTCAGTGTGAAATATAGCCTCCGTTCACTTGTTCGGGCCTTCGCAGGTCAACGACCCGTAAGAGTACCATATGTACCAGACAAATAAGACTATGCAGATTGCAAAATGCTGCATTCTCATGACAAAGGAAAACCCCATTACGATGTGTTGCGGCTAAAAAGTGGACTTCCGTCCGCCCACGTTCCTGCAGGGATGGACCTGTGCCTGTCCCGCGCACGAGCCAGCTCCTTTCACAGGAAGTGAGCCCTGAACGCTGCAGGGAAGCACGCGGCTTGCCGTCATTGTCACACCTGCGCTCTCTCTCTCTTTCTTCCTACAGCGCGCCGAGCCTGATTCGACGAGGCACACTGCGAAGATGGTGCTTTCGTTTATTCTGATTCAGAACAGGCAGTAAGTCCGTATGTTGGTTTGGAAGGGGGCGGAGACTAATGTGTTGCGCCGTGTAGAGGGAAGACGCGGCTGGCGAAGTGGTATGCGCCGTACAGTGTAAGTCGAGACGTCAAAATCCATTGGTAGATTAAGTTGCTAATCACTGTGTAGGATGAGGAGAAGATCAAGCTAAAGGGCGAGGTATGCGACACCTTCCTACATACCCATCTACCCACCTCAGCGGTTCTCTCCCTCTACCACTCCTCCGAGCAGCCATCCTCCAACCTCCACATACCGACATTCCAAATGAGACTAAGACTCGTTACAGGTACACCGCCTTATCGCGCCCCGCGACCAAAAACATCAATCCAACTTCGTCGAGTTCCGCAACATGTCCAAGATCATATACCGCCGATACGCCGGCCTCTTCTTCTGCGCATGCGTCGACACAAATGATAACGAACTGGCATATCTAGAAGCTATCCACTTCTTTGTGGAGGTGCTAGATGCATTCTTTGGCAATGTGTGTGAGCTGGATTTGGTGTTCAACTTCTATAAGGTGTATGCGATCCTCGACGAAGTGTTCCTGGCAGGCGAGATCGAAGAGACGAGCAAACAGGTTGTGCTGACGCGATTGGCACACCTGGATAAGCTGGAATAAGGCACGGAGAGTCAAATCATGAATATGGTAAACGGCCGCAGCTCATAGTCTGGACCACTTCGACCGGCGCACCAAGGGCGCGCGGTGTTAGTACCTATGGGCTGATAAGGGATAACCCAGGGATATTATATGCATAGTCCCGCCGCGAGGTATTGCACAGGCAATTGAAGTGCCAAGTGATTCCCGACGGGTCACTTTTGGTATACTTGGATGTTCATTGGTACGAAGGTTTTGTGCCGTTGGATGAACAGAGGAAATCATCTGTATATACTGTCGCCCTCGATAATACAGACCACACCGTTCCTCGACGGAAACATTCCGAGTCTGCTGGTGACACGCGAGTGAATGGACCCTGTCTCGTTCTTGCATGTGGAAGCGCGCACGGACGCGCTCTTTCGATGGAAGTATAGGTCTAGAAAATAGACAGATCATCAACCTTGGTTCCTCGAGATCTGTCCCTTCGCCTGTGCACACATTCACCCCAGCATGCCCGCCCCGTGATATGGTCATCTATAATACCACTCCGTGCCCCGTTGTTCCTCCGCCACACGCCTGACCCGCCTCGAATCGTCCCGTCCAGCGAATCCACCGCAACATCCCCGCGCCGCGACCATGTCCGACTTCGCCGGGTACCACGCCATGGGCACTGGCTCTCCAAATCCTCCGAATGCAAACGGCAGGCAAGACGAGCCCAACACGTGGCGCCCGCCAGTCGCTGCGAGCCCTGCTGGCTACCAACAGACGGGAAGCCCAGCAATGGCTCCACCCCCGAATCAGTACGCCGGCACGCCAGCGCAATACGGCACGCCAGTCCAGCAGGAAAGTTACTTTCCGGATCAGACGGCTCTGCAGGGCCAACAGCAGTATCAGGGCGACCAAGATGTGAACAACCTCGCGGGGCAGATGGGAGCAGTCGGATTGGGCGTGGATCAAGCAGCACAGCCTAAGAATAAGAAGAAGAACAGACATGCATATCATAATCTCGAGGGGCCTGGAGGGAATTCACAACCATTTGCTGGCTCGCCGCAGAATGGTATGCCGTCACAGTTCCTAAACCAGAACTCGCCGCAAGTTGGAGGAGCGCAATGGATGGAGCCCCAGATTACCCCCGCTATGAGCCAGTTTCCCGCGCCCGTGAATCCCATCTTCTCTCCTGGAGCGCAAGCTTCGCCCATGCAATATGCTGCGAGAACGCCAGCACCACCACACCAGACGGGAGGAGCGGCGGTCGGATCAGCTCAAGGACGTGTAGACCCCGAGCAGATACCTAGCATACCGAAGTCGCGAGATGCGCCAGCAAGATACTACCTAGAAAATGTTTACCCAACCATGGAGCACCACCTGCCGCCTCCCGCCACGGTCCCCTTCGTTGCCTTTGACCAGGGCAATTCTTCACCTAAGTTTGCCCGATTGACGATGAACAACATTCCACTTACTGCGCAAGCCCTCTCTGCGACCTCGTTACCGCTTGGCATGATACTACAACCGCTGGCTCCTCAACAAGAAGGAGAGCAATCTATACCTGTACTGGACTTTGGTGAGACGGGGCCACCAAGGTGTGCAAGATGTCGAGCATACATCAATCCCTTCATGCAGTTCAAGGCTGGTGGAAACAAGGTCGTGTGTAACTTGTGTACCTACCCGGGAGACGTTCCTGGTGAATACTTTGCGCCTACAGATCAATCTGGCGTCCGGATAGACAGATTACAGCGTCCAGAGCTCACTCTAGGCACTGTCGACTTCCTGGTCCCCAAGGAATACTGGTCGAAGGAGCCCGTCGGGTTACGGTGGTTGTTCCTGGTCGACGTGACTGCGGAGGCTGTAAACCGTGGCTTCCTTCATGGGTTCTGTGAGGGCATCATGAAAGCACTTTATGGCGAGTCAGGAGCTGAAGGAGAGGAAAGCGAAACTGCGACTCGCATACCAAAGGGCGCCAAGGTCGGCATCGTGACGTTTGATAAGGAGATGCACTTCTACAACCTCAATGCCAGTTTGTCGAGTGCTCAGATGCTGGTCATGTCCGATCTCGAGGATCCCTTCTTGCCATTCAGCGAAGGCTTGTTCGTCGATCCTGTGGAGTCCAAGACTGTCATTACATCACTTCTCGCACAGTTACCCAACATGTTCTCCGAAGTCAAGAATCCTGAACCGGCCCTGCTTCCCACTCTAAACTCTGCCGTAGCAGCCTTGTCAGCCACAGGTGGAAAGATAGTGTGCTCTTTGGCTGCACTTCCTACTTGGGGTCCTGGTCGACTGATGCTACGTGATGACGGCAACGCATCAAACACTGATGCCGAGAAGAAACTTCTCCAGACCGAACATCCTGGTTTCAAGAAGGTTGCCGAGAAGATGGTGCAAAACGGCATTGGTGTGGATTTCTTCCTTGCAGCACCAAGCGGAGGCTACCTTGACATTGCAACAATTGGTAAGCCAGGAATTCTTCCGACAGGTGCTACCTGCTAACACATGCTAGGTCACGTTTCCGCTGCAACAGGTGGAGAGGTGTTCTACTACCCCAACTTCCATTCACCAAGGGATACGCTCAAGCTGTCCAAGGAGATTCAGCACACAGTCACACGAGAAACCGGATATCAAGCGCTGATGAAGGTTCGCTGCTCGAATGGCCTGCAGGTCTCTGCCTATCACGGAAACTTCTACCACCACACTTTTGGCGCCGATCTAGAGTTTGGAGTCATCGACGCTGATAAGGCTATCGGCGTTATGTTCAGCTACGATGGCAAACTAGATCCCAAGCTTGATGCGCACTTCCAGAGCGCGCTCCTATATACGGCTGCGAACGGTGAGCGACGAGTACGGTGCACCAACATCGTGGCTAGTGTCAGCCCAAACACTGGTGAATGCATGAAGTTCGTCGACCAGGATGCTGTGGTGAACATCATCGCCAAGGAAGCTGCTGCTCGCATGACCGAGAAGAATCTTAAGGAGATCCGGGGAGCGCTGACGGAAAAGACTGTCGACATTCTTGCGGGCTACAGGAAGAACTTCACTGGCAACAACCCACCAGGCCAGCTTGTGCTACCGGAGAACCTGAAAGAATTCGGCATGTACATCCTTGGACTGATCAAATCGAGAGCCTTCAAGGGAGGCAAGGAGCCCACCGACCGGAGAGTCCATGACATGCGGATGATCAAGTCGATGGGACCGTTGGAGATGTCATTATATCTCTACCCTCGAATTATTGCAATCCATAACCTCGATGCGCGTGATGGCTTCGCAAACGAAAAGGGCCATCTTGTCATGCCCGAAAGCATACGTGCATCATTCTCCAAGGTTGAAGAAGGCGGCGCATACATTGTAGACAACGGTCAAATATGCCTACTATGGCTACACACGCAAGTCTCACCCAACCTGCTAGAAGACCTCTTCGGCGAAGGCAACAATAGCTTGAAAGCGCTCGATCCCTTCCAATCCACTCTCCCTGTTCTCGAGACGCACCTCAATGCTCAAGTACGGAATATCTTGCAATACCTAGAAGGTACAAGAGCCTCCAAGGCGCTCACAATACAACTCGCACGACAAGGTCTTGACGGTGCAGAGTATGAGTTTGCAAGGTTGTTGTACGAGGATCGAAACAATGAGGCGCAGAGCTATGTTGACTGGCTTGTGCATGTCCACAGGCATATACAACTAGAGGTAATTTGATCTGAAGTTCAACACTGCGAAACAATCTTGCTAATGCTTGAACAGCTCGCAGGACAGCGCAAGAAGGAAGACTCAGGTGACGGTGTTGGTTCGACGTTCGTGGGTCTGCGAACGCCATACTGGGGTTAGAGAAGCAAATTGGCGTCGATGATAGAGTGTGTATTGCATAGCGAAAGCGAGGATTTGATGAACATTGTTATAAAGGAATGGCAAATGCATATCCGAAGCACCAAACAAAATTATTCAGTTCAACGTTCTCTCTGGTGTCGGTTTTGATGTTCTTACTTCTAGCATGGCAGTTGGTTGGGAGACAGTGCCATTCATGTGACCATCGGCGAAAGGTTATACCGATGTTAGCGCGCCTCGCTTGCGATTTTCAACCCACCTAGACAAAACAGCGCCTTGAACTTTCAGCTTCCGCTCGAACGTAACTAACCCAACAGTCAAGTCAACATGCCTACTCGCCTTACCAAGACCCGCAAGCACCGCGTATGTCACGTACTCGTCCTACAATCATATCAATTGCTAATACAATATACAGGGTCACGTCTCCGCCGGTCACGGACGTGTCGGGTAATTCACACCTGCGAGATTTAGGCTCGAATTTGCGCAATGCGACAAGTGCTAACAATGGAACAGCAAGCACCGCAAGCATCCCGGTGGTCGTGGTATGGCCGGTGGTCAGCACCACCACCGCACCAACATCGACAAGTACCATCCCGGTTACTTCGGAAAGATTGGTATGAGGTACTTCCACAAGCAGCAGAACCTGTTCTGGAAGCCCGTCATCAACCTCGACAAGCTTTGGTCCCTCATCCCCGTTGAGAAGCGCGAGGAGTACCTCACCAAGAAGGGTGGCAACGCTCCCGTCCTTAACCTTCTCGACTACGGCTACTCCAAGCTCCTCGGAAAGGGCCGTCTCCCCGAGGTCCCCATCGTCGTCCGCGCCCGCTACGTCAGCGCTGAGGCTGAGAAGAAGATCAAGGAGGCCGGTGGTGTCGTTCAGCTCGTCGCATAAATAGCGCCACGATACGATTGTGCATGATAAGGCGTCTCGGAATCATACAAAAGGATAACGGCAATGATTGGGATGGATCTTCAAGTCCGCAGTATACCCTACAGGTCTGCGTAGACTTGCGTTCAGCGTGGTGGCTGAGGAATGTTTCATAGACAATATGACCATTCCTGAATCAACCTTTGGCCTTTGGTGGCTTTTTCGCTCATGCGATGTCTGGACCATGCGGTGCTTGGATGGCGGCGCTATCGTTCGGCTGCCGCGTACTCTGGTGATGTTGTGATGTTCTTGCGATGTGTGCTGTGATGTGAAAACCTGGATGATGTGCTAACCACCACAAGCCTAGTATTCCTGACCATTTCTGACCATTTCTAGACCTACTCATTGATCTTGTGGACAGCGCGTTCGCGCTTGTTTCTACCCGCGCCGATTCAACGGTGACGGCTTGCGATCGCAAATCGCTTTGATCACGACTTTGCGACGCATATCCACAGCAATCGTGCTGTCGATCATATTATGTCAATGATTGCACACGATTGTTTGGATGTGCTGGATAGTCCGCTACAGTAGGCAATACAGATAACACTCAATCACATTTTCAGCATTTCACTCGATTTTAAGTGTAATTTCTCCATCAAAACTTCGCATGGCTTTAGTCGTCACCTCATATCGAGGATTCCCAATGCTTGCCCTATCGTCAATACTAGCGTCTCATATCGGGTAACTATCCTCGTTATCATCGGAGTGCTACTCAGCACTATCATCCATGCCAACGTCGTCTTCAATATCATCATACTGCTTCTCAGTACTGTTATCCATATCATCGTCTTCTTCCACCAAATTCATGCCACCAGTATCCTCAGCACTAGCCAGCTTCATGAAACGACTCGGCTCCAGTGAAATAGATGGCGAATCAGCATGTATCTCTGGTGCGCGGAAATTCGGCGGTAGAGTAAGATTGCTCGAATGTGATTTGGCAGCGCGGACACGCTGAGCATATTGCCTGTTGGCTTGGCGCTGGGTATTGAAGTGTCGTTGTAGGGTTTCTCGGGGGGAAGGTGAGAAGCTGGATTTGTGGGGTATGGTGGACTGATGAGTGTTGTTAATTTAGGAAAAGGAATGACGAGGAACAAAAGGATGGGTTGTGTGAGATTCTGACTTACGTTTTCTGGGCGTGAGAAACCACCGGGTAGTTCGTTTGCCTGTCCAGTATGTAGTTTAGTGGTTGAATTGACACCACCTGATAGTCTATCTTCATGTTGAATTGGGATATTGGTTGACCCGTTTTGATCTCTCTCAAGAGTAAGCATCAGATTGCGTATCTCCTCTGCTGCTCCAAAGCGGAGAGGTAAATCTTCAAGCTTCGTCTTCCGTAAACGGTCGCTGAGACTTGAGCTCGAGTCCGAGTGTGCTTGTCTAGGTACACGCTCAACGTTCATCCTTAGAGGCTCAGCATCTGATCCGGGTGATGGCGACGACGTTCTGATGCTCTCGGGTGCGCGCTGTATCATCTTCGAGAGGTCAACGGGCGGGCCAATAACACTTGGCGTTTGACTTCCCACGTTGACGACTCGAGGTTTCGATCTTGACTGTTTGTCCTCGTGTCCTCTCTTGGCTCTTGGGGTCTGTTGAGCCTCTTCTCTAATCCTACTGGTATTTCCAGTATCCCGAGTCGTCTTTTCGTGAGGCGGAGGTATTTGTAACCCGAGAGATCTTTCCCTAAGTCTCGCTTCTTCTTCTTCTTCATTCCTTTGCGTTCGACCTGTCTTCCTGGACAGAAAGGCCATCGCATACTTTCTTGGTACAATAGATACCATTCCGACAGTCTGGTCATGTTTGACAGGCACAGCAGCATCATTCGGCGAAACGGCACCAGGCCGACATGTGAGAGTGCTTAACAATCGTCCCACTAAATTCACCTTTTTCTCACCAGCCTGTCCCCCTTGCTCGCCTTCTAGTGCATCACCTACATGGTGTTCGTATTCCCCTCCTGCGGATTCAAGAGTACGTTCATCACGGTGTTGGACGGGCGAGGATGCAGAGCGTTGTCTGCGGTTCGTGGGTGCCTCCCCTCGCCTCAGATGCCGCTCACTCTCCGTGTTATAACGTTGCAGACCATGCCAGTATTCCTGGGTCTCTTGTTGGTTCATATCGTAGTAAGGATGAGTTGGAGCATATTCTCTCTCTTCTACATCGTTGTTGTGTGCACAGGCGCCCGATTCAATGGGGAACTGTACGTGACTTCTTGTAGATGAGGGGGAGACGGGGAATGGGACGTGGCGCGATGCGACGAACAGTGAGATGGGCGATATCGTACGGTTTGAAGGGTATATAGGGAAATATGACCGGTTCGTAGAAGGCGTGGTGTTGCGATTGATAGAGTGTGGGGATTGTGTGGGTGGAGGGGGTTGGGGTTGGGTGGTTGGAGCGTCTTCGGGGTAAAGGTTTGTCAATATTGATAGTTCGGACGAGGAGTTTGTATTTACTTTGTTAGTATCGTTGGGGGTTGGAAGTGATCCGTGGTTGGGTTGGTAGGTAAGTGGTATGAGGTCGTCGTCTTCAGGGTAGGGGGTTGAAACAACGTCGTCCTCGTCATCTTGTCTTCTGAAATTCGGCACTTCCTCGCTGTACTTTTGGAGCATGTCTTGCATCTCGCTTCTTTTCGTCTTATTGACCTAAATACCTCAGTTAGTATCAGTCGCTCGACCATCACCTTCTGAGATGTTCATGAATTAGCAACGTACCGTAGAATACGTCCCCCCACTCTGATACATCCTCTCCACCTCATGTAACCTCATCTTTCTCATCGCCCTACTATTCATACTATGATAGGCGACATACATTTCGCTCTCCACCTCTCCATTCGTGAACCTTTCTTCTGCGATAAGGCTCTCGAAGCTCATACTGCGGTCAACCTCCATATACCGCTCATGCTCTCTGTCCATATCAAGTTCCCAGTCTTCTCTTTCTTCTTCGTATTCGTCATCGCCGTCATCGATTTCTTCTCCCTCTCTATCTCTCAGGGGCTCCATACTATCGGACCTCACGTCCCAGTCTTGCTCTCCATCTTCTTCATCCCAGCCATTCAAATGGTCCCCCACTGGACTTAAATCCCTCAGGTCGTGTTCTGACTCCTGTGATCCATCATAGTATTCACCTAAAGACGCCGCAAGTGTCTGGCGAGCGGCTTCCCCACGGCGCCCCAGACTGTCCCGGCGCACGGTATTGGTGATTATGGTCTTGAGGGAGGTCGCGTTTGTGTTTGTGTTCTCGCGGATAGCGACGATGCGGTCGCGGATGCGGGCGAGGTAGAGAGCCGTTGGTTGAGGAGACATCGTGGGAGAAGGGGGCCTGTGAAAAGGACTGCGGAGGCCGTCGCTCGAACACTTTCTTCATCGACCTTTTAAATGTGTAGAACCGTGGATGTTGAATCTGAGATGATCGTTCGACGTCTTCTTGTCTATCCGGGTCGTAGATCAGCAAGAAATGTGTCGCGTTTGCGACTCCTGCTCCAGGAGTGGAACCGATTGTCCAATTATTGGGCTACCAGTGTACACTGTGGCTTCTGTAGTTCGGAACCGAGAGAAGGCATCCCACTACTCGTGTGTCAGTTGGCAGTTTAGTTTCCTCGAAATGTAAAGCATCAGTGGGCTCTGAAATTCTTACCCGCACATTGGACCCTTACAGCCATCAATCACATAAGCCACATATGCGGTGCGCACCGATCATGAGGATGTGTTTCATTAGGGTATCCACAACACTACTCTGCCTTTTCTCCCAGACTCAGCAAGTTCAACAGTACCTCTTTTGCCTTGTCTGGTTCAACACTGCCGTCCGGAGCTCTAATCACCATCTGTCCTACGAACCACCCTACCTTCTTCACCTGACCCTTCTCGGTGATGTCTCTCACCATGTCTGGTTTTTTTTCTAGCAGCGTCTGCGCTAACTTCACGTACTCTTCTTGGCTTAGTGGCTGCAGTAGAAGGTTCTCTTGATGAACGACTTCTGTTGCGCTGCGTGGGTCGCCCTCGAACTTGATGGCAAGCAGACGTTTTGCGGACGGCGATGTGACTTCTCTACGACGTACGTGTGAAATGGCACTAGCAAGATAGTCGGCTGGCACTCGATCGGGATCCCAAGGTTCATCTTGAAAGAGAGAGCCAAGCTCCATCAGCACCCTTGAGAGGAGTCAGCCTGAGTTCTGACATCACAGTTGACGAACTTACCAGTTCCCGGTGATTTTGCCCAATGATGCCAACGGAACATCCTTCCCGACCTGCTCACTTTCTACTTGGCAGCGAACAACGTCCGCAAAATACTCCAAGCGTTCACCATCGTCGAGAGAGAGGAGTGTGATGGCGTCTTTGGTGGTGAGCCCGTAGGTGTTTGCGAGCAGATCAACAGTCACATCGGGGAGCTTTGGTAGGGTGTTTCGGAGGTGTTCAACAAGGTCCTTAAAAAATCAGCAGAACGTTCGCGTCAATTTTGCAGACAAGGCTTACTTGTCCGATAAAGACAGGAGCAATATCCGGATCCGGCATGTAGCGGTAGTCGATCTCGCCTTCTTTGCCTCGAAGACGTTTGGTGGTTTTGCTTCCAAGAGTCCATCCGCGTGTTTCGCCCTCAACAACACCGCCACTTTCAAGCAGGTCAATCTGTCGATCACGTTCAGCAATAATGGCATCTTCGACAGCCTTCGTGCTTGACAAGTTCTTGATCTCAGTCCGCTGGCCCAACCCAGTAACACCAGAGTATGAGTGGCTAGCTTGGGAAGACTCCCCTCCGCGTTGACGAACGGATACGTTGACATCGGCACGCAGCCCACCCAACTCCATGCCCGTTGTACAGGCATTGACAGCCTTGAGCGTGTTTTGTATCTTGCGAACGACAACGGCTGCAACTGTGGGATCGTGGATCTGAGGGAGGGTAATGATTTCGATCAGAGGATGGGAGACACGGTTGAAGTCGAGTAGGTGGGTCGAAGGAGGCTGCTGCACAGTCTTTGCGGTATCCTGCTCCATTTGGATCTGCTTGATGCCGATGTCGAAGGGCTCTGGCTGCGGGGCAGCACCAGGCGGAAAGTCATGAGGGTAGAGGGTGATTTTTCCATTCTTCGCGAAAGGCTCATAGTACTGTGTGATCTGGTATCCGGCGGGCTGATCTTGGTAGAAGTAGTGTTTGCGGTCGAAGCTGCTCTTGTGCTGAATCTCGCAATCGAAGGCTATAGCGGCGCGCAGGGCGGGGAGGAGGGTTTCCTTCTGGAAGTGAGGCTGAGTACCAGGAAATGCGACATCAAATAAAGAAACATGGGTATTCGGTAATTCGCTGATCGAGGTCGCAGCACTGGAGAAGAGCTTCCGCGCGGTGTTGAGTTCGGCATGGACTTCAATCCCGACCGTCAGCTCCCACTTCTCTAGCCGTGCATCTTTGCCCTTTTTCGAAGACTTCGATGAGCCAGCAGAGGCGCTCTTGTCTTTCTTTTGTTGCTTTGCGGCGTCTTTCAGCAGTTTGCGAAAGGCGGTGCCATTTTGAGGCGGTGGTGGCTGCGTCTCAGTCTGGAGAGATCGTGTCGTGTGACGCGTTGGCAGGTGTAGGGCACCCAATTGAGACTGCCTGACTCGGCGCAGACATGAGTGACATATGTACGGCTGTTTCGAGGCTGTCGCAAGGGTATTGCGGGTAGTGCGGGCGAACATGGCGTGGAGTCTGGCGAGCAGCAGTTCCGATGCTCTGCACTGTTGCGGACGGTCTGTGCTCACTTCCGAGTGGCCGTGGGTCAGCGACGAACGACATCATCAACCCAGTACTTCAACGCCAGGACATGAATTCTTCGCCAGCGCCAGAATCTCTCGCGCCGTTTGTCCCAGTCGGAAATATCTCGACGCCGGCCAAAAGGCCGTCGAGGTCGACGAGATTTGCCAGTATTGCCTCTGCGGCACCGCATTTACGACGACCGATTATTGCCAGTTCTAGATCACCTTGTCAAGTAACTTCTGGAGCTTTCTAATAGACCACTCAAGGAGAGCTTGCCTCTTCCCCGGCCTTCTTCGCTTCGCTCTCTCAAGATTGATAAGGTAGAGGTTGGATGCGACTGTGAATGGGTTCTCATTCACCGATTGGGGAGAATCCGACTGATATGAACTTCCAACAGCGACACGCGTCTCCGGCGCTGCACTTCCGGTGCTTGCATGTAAAGTCGTTGGCGCGTATATGTGGACGTAGCAGGTCACGTTCTGAAAGAAGGTGTGCTCAGCCTCGTTAGGGCGAGGAACGCCGGAACTATCGATGTTTGCCATGCGACTGGCTTTGTCTGTCTGTCTTCTTGCGCAAACGAGCCTTCAATCTCTTCAGACGAGTGCGACACCTTTGCCACGCCTCCTCTTCGCTAGCTTTGTCGGAGGCGTGCTTGAATTGCCCGGGATGGACGTACACTCCCGGCCAAAGGCTGAAGTCGGCCTCAGAGTGATGGCTTGTATCGTGAGAGAATCGCACACTACGACTACTGCGAACACTCGCCCCCATACGTGCAACCTTCAGGAGATCTTGGGTTAAACCTGCTGGTAGGTATGCGAATCCAGGACGCAGCACAAGAGATCGGCTGGTGCCTCAGAACTTGCCCTTGACAATGTTTTCTGCCACGGCTTTGACGCTGTTGAAGACCCTCCTTGCTCTTTCTTTCCTCTCTCTCCTCTTCTGCGCTCTGGCTTCTGCTTGCTGCTCTTGCGCCTGGATCTCCTCTGGTGTGCGAGTATCTGACTGTGTTTGAGGACCTGAAGGACTGGAAGAGCCTATAGCGGCCGGTTGGGGTCCAGCGGCAAAGTCAGTATACGTAAAGTCGCGTTCTGTTGAGTGATATTGCCCTGAATTGGCACCACAGTCACCTCCAGTTTCGCCTCCCGAGTCGGTTCGGCAGTCCTCAGATGTCGTTCCGTGATCACCTCCCGATGCAGTCCCACAGTCTGCCGTTGATGTCGTGCCGTAATCGCCTGAGGATGTCGTTCCACAATCTGCGGACACCGAGAAAGAATCCATTCAGAGTCTGAAGATACAGTAGCGCAGCTCAAAGATGAAGCTTGAGCGTGAGCCACGTCACGGCCAACCGGATCTTCTCGCTCTTCTTTGTGGTTTCGTTACGTTTTGCTTTGATCGTGTTAGCGACCTCGGCTCGGGCTTCTCTTCGCTGTTGTTTCTTCTCTTGTCGTTCACGTTCCGCTACCTCCTCAGGCGTTGAACCGTAATAGGTAGTCCCCGAGTCGGCTGTTATGGAGTAGATGCCGCTGTCTCCTGCGTTGTGAGAAGTGTGCGATGTGCCTCCGTCTCCTGCGTGATGAGAGGTGTAACAATGAGAAGTACCCGAGTCTCCAAATGAGCTGCTGCCGCCACAATCGCCGGCACTATAGCTACCACAGTCTGCCATAAACTAACTTCAAGCCTAGAGGTGAAGTCTTAGCTTCAGCAAGGTTGCGTATAGACGAAGTTTAGCCTTCTTGCTAGTCGCGTCGGAGAGTTTGGCCTTGGTGTCGGCCCAAGCTTTGTATCGGATCTCCCTTTCCTGTCGCTTCTTCTCTTCGCGCACCTCTTGCTTCTTTTTCAGCGCCTCTTTTTGCTCTTCAGTGAGCTTGGGAGCGGGATGGTTCTGTCCGAAACCAGATAGCGCAGGCGCAGATGTCGCACAAGAACTAGCCCCACAGGTTGTGGATGCGGCACAGGACATGAAAAAGTGCTGTTGTCTACCAAAGACGGAGGATGCTCAAGAGACCGGCTAACTTAGCGCGTAGTCCCTTCTTCAACTTCCGGCTTGCTTTCTTCTCGGCCTTGATTTCGAGGCGCCTGAGCTTGCGTTGTCTTCGCTCTTCGATGATTCTTCTTCTTTCGCGGGGTTCAAGTGGGTTGATAAGTGCTGGTCGGTAGCTCGAGAGTGTTCGGCCCTGTCCTTGGGTTGGAGCTGGGAGTGCAGCACAAGACACAGCACAAGACACAGCACTTGTTACAGAAGTAGCAGTCGTGCTCATAAACACACTCTAGTCTTCTGATCTAGGCGTGTCGAATCTCAGAATCTGCCACTCAAGATTCTCTTCAACTTGAGGTGAAGTTTGTCTAGCGTGCTTGGAGAAGATGAGATTCCGTTACGGGCCCAAGTCTTCCTCTGCGCCTTTCGAGAACGTGTCTTCTCGAACTTGCGGAGCCGCTGACGAGCAACGTGCAGTCTTTCGTGCGAAGTGAGTGGCCTGCCAGAGTACGAGTGTGTTTTGGGGTTGTGACCTTGGTCGAAGATGGTGCGGCGTTTGTGGATGACACTTGGCCGGTATGAGTGAGTGCGGCGCCTAGGTCGAGCTGGGTTGTTGTAAGGTCGAACGTCAAATGGCATGTACCCAGTCAGTGCAGTGATGCATGTATTGTAGTTATGGTCCAATAGGGCGGTGATGTAGTCGTGGGGTACGAAATGATAAAGGTGATGTGTGGTGAGGGTTGTCTGCAGAGGCTGCACACCGTACAAATGCACTGATGTCGAATTCTAGGGCGGTGCAGTTGAGGTGGTGTGTGTGTGGTTCTAATGAACAGTATGCCGCAGCGGCAATGAGGATATGTTATAGAATAACGTTTTGATACCAAATGATGCTTCGTTGAGGCTTGGTGATTGTGCGTAAAGGTATGTTGTGATGGGGATGTGATGGAGGATGTTTGTTTTAGTCTCACGCTGAATGAGAAAGTAGGTGCCTCTCGTAGCTACCTAAAGACTGGGGTGCGCAGTTACTCTTGTAGGCTCTAATCGTACGTATTAGGACATGGGTACTGGTGCTTTCCAGGCCATATAGAATGAGCGTTGTACTGATGCAGAAGGTGCGATAAACAGGTACACAAATGTCCGAACAACCAAACTAATACGCTGCTAACTAGAAGTAGCGATAGCCGAAGGCTCCGCTGGGGGGGAGTTTGTTCTGAATTCCGGAAAGTCCACAGTATATCGCTCTTGGATTAGAGGGCATAAAGCAAAGGATAAGTTTTTAAGATTTCCGTTGCTTTACCCTGAAGGATATCGTCGTTCATTGTATGGTTTGACACTTGTAAAAAAAGCTGTTCAATGTCAAAGTGTATAAGATTTCTAAATATAATTTCCAGCATGAAAAACCTGATCTACAGTGAAGACTCCAAGAACTACATTCAAAACACAAACTTGCGATCGCCCATTAATCCCCAAAGCTCCTCCACCACAGCCTTCTGTTCCTCGGGCTTAGCGTTGCGAACAGCAAAGTAAAGGCGGCCCTCGAGAGTTGGGTCCCAATTACCAGGATTGGCGCTCGCAACGATACCACCGGCTTCTTCCAAGATACACCACCCAGCCGCCACATCCCAAGACCAAACTCCACCTTCCCAAAAAGCATCAAGCATTCCGTGTGCAACATAGCAGAAATCTAATGCTGCGGAGCCGTTAGACCGTACCGACTTGCACATCGCGCCACCTTCATCTTTGGAGGTCAGAAGGGCGTTGTGGACGGAAGTGCGTAGTGCCCAGTTAGGGCCCCTGCGCTGGTTACCCCACTCGACAGCTACCAGACAGGAATTGAGCGACGGCATCGGTTTCGGGTTCTGTTGTACAGGAAGCTTGATCGTGTTTCCTGTAGTCGGCCTCGTCAAGAACGCGCCTTGGCCTTTGACTGCGTGGTACATATCCCCACGAAAGGGATTGAACACCACACCTACGACAGGCTTCTTGTCGAGCGTAAGCGCCAGAGAAATCGCGCAATTGGGAACACCCTGTGTGAAGTTCAGGGTGCCGTCGATTGGATCAACCACGAATGTTGGTTGGTCGGCCAGCTTGGTCCCAGCCTTGAACGTCTCTTCCCCGAGGAAGTAGAAGGAGGGGTAGGCCTTTTGCAAACGAGCCTCGGCCATATCCTCAATCTGCTTGTCGAACACGGTGACGAGGTCAGACGTGTTATTTTTGGTCTGGGCTGTCATGATGAGGGAGTACTCCGCAGCCACCATGATGTTACCTGCCTCCGTGGCAACGTCGATAAGCACGCTCTCGATTTCCTTAAGGTCTTGATGAGTAAGACCATACTTGACTAGGATGGCGTTGAAATCAGTTGCTGGGGCCGGCCTTGAGGTAGCACGTGAACGTGTAGCCGTCGACAACAAGGCAGATAGTGTGCTGGTCAAGACTGGTCGTTTATTTTGAGGGGCCATTGTGGTAGTTCGAGTAAGGTTCTGGATCCGGACTTTACTGATGGACTTGCTCGAGGAGTTTGCAAGTAGTGTATGGGAGTTGAGTCGAGAGTGGTTGTTGAGTCCGGAAGAACTTGAAAGGCCTGTAGTTATAGGCAGGCCAACATTTGCGTTGTGTTGCCTTGATATCGGCCCACAAGTCACTCTGTGTAGTGACTTTACCTGTAGTTGCTGTTTGTATATACCCCGTCTGAGCTGCCAGCGACCTTGTGTGAGAATAGTTTGCAAGGTGAAAGGATTCGAGATCGTTGCCTGCCGCGACAGCGTTATAGGCGGCATCGAGTCAAACCTTTGGCGAAGTTATACACTGTGAACAAGTCATTATTTCACAAAGCAAGCTGGCGTCGATGGCCACAAGCCATTTGTTTCCAGTAAGAAAGTCATTGGAGTAGGCGTTTGTAGGTAACAGTTTCTGTATATATGACTGTTGCCCTAGACTTAGCCTAGTGGGCCTACGTCTTTTTATCATGTCTCCGAGTAGGTCCGAGCAGAGACAGTTCACAATGCCCGCTAAGATTAGATAGTCTTGTAGACACCCGAGGCCCGTGTCTCAGCCGATTTGTTCCGTCGTGCTCAGAGCACTGGTGAGGCTCGACTCTGGAACCATTATTGTAAGTGAAGTGCGAGTACCTTTCTTTGTCTTTTGGATGGGATCGTCGTAGGCCACTACGTATGCGGTGAACGATGAAGTGGGGTAGGGAAAGTCAAGTTTGAGAGAAAGCTCGACAGCTGGTGCACGTCCCTCAGCGGAACCTCATCTGCACCGGGAGATCTGCGGCCAGACAGATACTCAGCGATTCTGCTTCTAATGCGCCAAGACGTTGGTCATAAACATAAAAAGAGATAGGTCTTGGTACGATAAGGACGTTTACATAAGATTGTCATGGTAAAGAGAGGTTCTATCACGTGTAACCATCATTTGCCTCACCGGACGACGTCATAGCCAATAACCTACATCCAACGTACACCAAAACAACGACAATTGAAAGATGCCACAGCCAAAATCTCTCCCCAAAGACCGCTACGTCCGGCAACGCGCCGCGCGAGAAATCCGTCGAAACCTTGCCGCCCTGACAACATCAACATCTCATCCTCAGCTCCAATCTCTATTCTTCGCCGTCCTACCAGCAGAAATCCGTTTCACAATCTACCAACACGTGCTATCTCAACAACATGATCCCACCCGCCCTATCGACACCCATTCCATTTCACCACTATACCGCCCTCGACACACTCATCGTACCAAAATCGACTCAGCTCTGCTCCTAACATGTCGCCTTATCTATGTAGAAGCCCACCAAATCCCCTTGCGCAGTTCCACGCACCATTTCCGGTACCTAGGTAGTACATCATGGCTGTACAACGGAGACATCTGGCTCCACCACATCACCAAGCAGCGAGGCGCAGAACTATACCATCTCCACGATAACCTCGTTGCGCTGAAAGCGTCCAACTTCAATAAGTTCCTCTTGAGCCATTTACGCTGGAGGAGAATTACTTGGACGATATGCGCCTACCTCCTTCCGCCTTTACTCGCCGAACTGAAGGAACGACAGCGACTCGCGGAAACCATGGCGAGCTTGGTTCTGCCGAGTAGTTGCCAGGAGGTCAATCTTGAGTTCGAAACGAGAGAGGATTTATTGCCCGATTGGCCTGGTTTGGAGGATCAAATTGAGGCGTGTAGGGCATTGGCGTTACGGAAGGAGGATGGGTCAGTGTTAGAGATTGATGATAGATATGGCCTGAAGTATACGTGGATGGGGAGTGGGCAGGCGAGGTGGGGGACGAGTGAGGATGCGGTCTGGAAGGAGAAGATGAGATATCACACTACGAGGCTGTGTTGGAGGGCGAGGGTGCCGAGGAGGGAGTATATGAGTTATGATTTTTTGGATTGTTTGGGTGTTGAGGGCGATAGGGACGGGGTTGTCGAGAAGGTGAAGACGTTATGTGAGTAGTCAAGTGGAAACTGAGTACATCGGCACGAAGGACATCAGGAAATGTGACTGGCATATTGCCGGAGACTTGCAATATTCGTGGGTTCATATGATCCATTTGCTTTCTGTCTGGTTCATCTTCTTCTGCCACGATTTCCCTCCTTCAACTTGGACGTACAAGTGCATTAAATGTTTTCTTCCTCACGCCGTCAACTGCTCATATACGTATCAACGCGCGAATTTGCGTTCTGCCTCAACGACGGAAGCGATCCTCATATTGCTCGTGCTTGGCACTGCTGAAACTCCATTTAACGCTAGACAAGAAACAACAGAGACTCAAACTCTAAAAGATGGGAATATATTCTTGAAACATAAAACGATGAAGACCAATCGCAAGACTAACCTTGAACGCATTCGAAATACCCTGTGGTGGAGGGCCATTGCACATATCTGGATAATCCATCGAGTTGCCGTGTTAATGTCGTCACTAACCACACTAGGTTTCAACCCAACACCCTTGGACCGTTCGACTTGCCCTTCTTCTGGACGCCACGGGGAATGAACATGGCAGGAGATGCTACTACCGCGGGAGTACTGTTATTGCCGTTGCCAGACTTGTTCTTGTTATCCTTGTTGTTCTTGTTCTTTCCTTGCTTGTGTCTGTCGTCCTTTGTGACAGCCTTGACCTCCGATGTGGCGCGCTTGATGAGGACTGGGTGGCTGCCAATGTACTTGCCGTTCATCTCTTTGGCAGCGCGGAAGTAATCGTCGGTGTCTGAAAAGCTGACGAAGCCGTAACTGCGACTCTTGGTGGACTTCTTGTCTCGCACGACGCGGGCTTTAGATAAGGAGGGGTACTTTGCAAATGCTTTGAGGAGCGAGTCATCGGTGACTTCACCCGCGAGGTTACCGATGAACAGTCGCGGATGCAACGGATTCCACTCAAGTAGAGTCTCATCCTCCCACTGCTTTCCACCTCCCTCGCGGACGACAGTCTTGCGCTTGCCATCAGCTGTCGGTCCCGCTGCTTCGGCATCCTGAGGGGCTGATGCTTCCGGTCGAGCGCCTACGCTTGCGCCGCCGCTCTTCTTCGCGTTCGCATCGCCGGCATTGTATGCGCTGTTCCACTCGGCGATCCGAGCCTCTTCTTCGGGATCATAGGTACCAGCAAACCCACGGTTCACGGTCGGGGCAGCTGTGTATGAGGTCGTAGTAGGGGCACCCGTTGCATAGGCTGGGTACGAGTAGTTGTTGTAAGCATTGCTGGTCGGGTAAGCGGGTGCTTGGTAGGGGGCGCTCACTGGGGCTTGCGCATAGTTTGCTGGCGCAGCAAACGCCTGTGGAGGAGCATGAGCTGCCACAGAGCGCGGTGTAAAACCAGCAGACATAGGCGAGTTGCCTTGGGCGCGCGCGCCAGCGTTGTTTGATCTTGAAGGCGGTGCCGAATATGTGCTAGTCGGCGGTCGCGCCGGGAGAGAGTGATGAGGCTGCATGGTGAAGTAGGAGCTGCGCGTCAGTCCAGGTTAACCTTAGCGAGGTGATGACTTAACCAGCTACTGGTTGGGATGCGCTCTACTATCGCGAACTGAACTGGGTAGCCTGGTGATAGGACGGTCGGATGACTAAGGTTGCGTCGCAATCTAGGGCTCGCAGATTTTGAAAGGGTGAATATCGGGAGCGCGGGCGCGGAATGTGGCGGTGGTACCGGTGAGTGAGGCGCAGTGTTTACTTTTGGCTGTGTGGAAAATGCCTCTGGGAGGAACGCGTTCGTGTGAGGGAATAATACCGCCCAGGCAGTATTGCGCAGGTGATTCACTGAGACTGATGCTGACTACACGTCAAGGAACACAGGCGAGACTTTCCCGAAGTGTCTAGCAAGCGATGGTGCAGGAGGGCGACGACCGGATCGGCGTTTGAAAGGGGCAGAGTGGGATGGCGGGCCGGTGTGCAAATTGAATTACCGTGGGGATGCGTCAGATGGGGGCGTTGACGTTGGTGTTATTTGTTGAATCATGTCGCAGAAAGTGAGCCGCTTGGCTCCTCCGGCCCCGAATCACGTGTTGCCGGCATATCGGCAGCCGCTGCACAACATGTGTCCACGCAAGGCACGACCTTGTCTACAACCATGAAGCTTCAGCAATATCAGAAAAACTCATCGCCGGACGTGCCTTTGACGTCGCCTCACTAATCACGACTATCAGGTAAGCATCGCCAGACTTCTCCGGCCACCACATCCCGGCCCTAGTCCGATGATCCCTGCACGCTGCCCCTCCATCCGTAATGCTGTGTTAAGGCTGAGAATGGAGGGGCTGGTGCACTTGAGAATTCGGGAGCTTCACAAGCAGCCGCATTTGACCGCGACACCGTTGGATGTTTTGCGTGCATCCCTAGTCCGCAAGCCGTGAGCCACGTTTCTCGGGTTGTGGTAACTGCAGTCGTGTTTGCAGCCATTGGCATTCCCTACCACATGCGCAAACCCACCCGTGTCCAGGCCGCGCCTAACAAGGCGGCTTTCTAATCATGCAATGTTCAGCAATCATGTCCGGAGCACAGCAAACGTTTTACAAGACGGAATTGGCAACAGTGGCTTGTGTCACAATAGCCTTACCGCCGCGGCCGAAGCTATTCTCCGTCAACTGAGTGATGCTGGGATGTGTGGGACGTGCAGCCAACTGATGCAATAGTAGTGTGCCCCGCTTGTTTCCAAAGTCTGCCGGCGACTACATTATCTCGACAAGACCCCCACCAGTCTTCTTCTCTCTTCTCTTGACCATCACCAGCTTTATAAGCCTCAATTGCCCTCTCGTGTTGCACGCCCGGTCGCTGCAACTCTACCCCGCCACAACTTTCTCATCCAAACACCTATACCCACACGAGAACAGCAATCATGTCTTCTGAGCCTGTCGGAGATTTCGGCCTCATCGGCTTGGCCGTAAGTAATCCCTAATCCGGTCGCGTTCACGGAGGATGCGGTACTAAGTGCATGTCTTCACGTCTTCTTGTCGGCCATTGGAGGAATGGCCCAAATTATCCGGAGACATTCACCTCCAACTCGTTGAGAAAGAAGCCATGCTGACAATGTACGTAGGTCATGGGCCAGAACTTGATCCTCAACGCGTAAGTCACGACCCACATCAAAACCACATCAGACTAGTACTAACAAAACGCAGTGCTGATCACGGCTTCACCGTTGTCGCCTTCAACCGAACGTAAGCGCTTCGATACACCGCGCCAGGGACATACACTGACAGGCAGATAGCGTTGCCAAGGTCGACCGATTCTTGAACGATGGTAAGCCTCATCCATGAATCGCTACGGACATCTCTAACAAACAACAGAGGCCAAGGGCAAGTCCATTGTTGGCGCCCACTCCATCAAGGAGTTCGTCTCCAAGCTCAAGAAGCCCCGCCGCATGATGATGCTCGTCATGGCCGGTAAGCCCGTCGACGACTTCATCGAGCTCCTCCTCGAGGGAGGCGCCGAGGAGGGCGACATCATCATCGATGGTGGTAACTCCCACTACCCCGACACCAACCGCCGCACAAACTACCTCAAGTCCAAGGGTATCCGATTCGTCGGAACTGGTGTCTCTGGAGGAGAGGAGGGTGCCCGTTACGGTCCCTCCATCATGCCCGGTGGTAACGAGGAGGCCTGGCCATACATCAAGGTACGAATCTACGAAACGCGTATAGAGCACATCTGACAATTCTCCAGGACGTCCTCCAGTCCATCTCCGCAAAGTCCGACGGCGAGGCCTGCTGCCAATGGGTCGGTGACGAGGGTGCCGGTCACTACGTCAAGATGGTTCACAACGGTATTGAGTACGGTGACATGCAGTTGATCTGCGAGGTGAGACGAGCTGGTTGTACCGAGAAAAAGAACACGACTGACAAAACCAGGCCTACGACATCATGAAGCGCGGTCTCGGTATGAGCAACAAGGAGATCGGCGACGTTTTCACAGAGTGGAACAAGGGCGTTCTCGACTCATTCCTGATCGAGATTACCCGCGACATCATGTACAAGAACGACGACGATGGTGTTGCCATTGTTGAGAAGATCATGGACTCTGCCGGTCAGAAGGGTACCGGAAAGTGGACCGCCATCAACGCGCTCGACCTCGGTATGCCCGTTACCCTGATCGGAGAGGCCGTCTTCGCCCGTTGCCTGAGTTCGCTCAAGCAGGAGCGTGGCCGTGCTTCCGGTCTTTTGGACGGCCCTACCCCCAGCTTCTCTGGTGACCGCAAGGCCTTCATCGACAACCTCGAGCAGGCTCTTTACGCATCCAAGATCATCTCCTACGCTCAGGGTTTCATGCTGATCCAGAACGCCGCCAAGGAGTACAAGTGGAAGCTGAACAAGCCAGAGATCGCCCTCATGTGGCGCGGTGGATGCATTATCCGCTCCGTTTTCTTGAAGGAGATCACCAAGGCTTACCGCCAGAACCCCGAGCTCGAGAACTTGCTGTTCGACGACTTCTTCAGCAAGGCTATCCACAAGGCTCAGGCCGGATGGAGAGACACCGTCTCCAAGGGTGCCCTCTGGGGTATCCCCACCCCTGCTTTCAGCACCGCTCTGAGCTTCTACGACGGATACCGCGCCAAGGACCTCCCCGCCAACCTGTTGCAGGCGCAGCGTGACTACTTCGGTGCCCACACCTTCAGGATCAAGCCCGAGTTCGCCAACGAGACCTACAAGGAGGGTCAGGACATCCACGTCAACTGGACCGGAAGGGGTGGAAACATCTCTGCTTCTACCTACAACGCTTAAAAAGGGATATCCATTGCTTGTTGGAGGGGAACAGAAGGTCGCCCCGTGTTCATGTTTGATATTGAGCACGAGGAGTGTGATACCTCAAATTTAGAATGAATATAATGATTCGCATGTCCAATGTTTTCAGACATCTGGTGAATGTTTAAAGCTTGGCTTGACCGCTGTGTTGTTACTCGAGCCGGCTAGCCTATTCCGGTATTGATCATCGGGTAACTCTGGGTAGACCCTTGAGTATCCACCCCACTATGAAGTGAACATTGTTACGAGGTCGCACGCGTATCGGCTTCCCAGCGATCAGAAAATAGTCGGGACGGAAAGCGTGTCCAGAGGCATACACAGTATAATTGGTCCAACAGCAAGCGCCCTGCGTCAAGGCTTGGCATCGCGACCACAGAAAGTTGCAGCGCATCACGACAACATCAACCCACCCGCCCCGAGCTACGATAGCTCCGCCACACTCGCGCTGCCCTCCCACCCGGTTGCGCGTGTGTTGTCGCGTTTTCATTTCTTTCATTCCTTTGGATTGTATATTCACTGCTTGTATGAGTCTCTGGCGTTAGGTCCTTGAGAGTACATCTGGGCAATATTTGGGTGCTGACGAAACATCTGTAGCGGAGCAACGAGCCAGCCTCCGCTGCCCGTAATATACAATCGCCTAGACGAGAGACGGGAGATACAAGAGCAGGATCACCATGGCGGACAACAAGCGCAACAGCGTTGCGGGTAAGGTCGCGACGCCGAACCTCAAAGCCGGCACGAGCTCGGGCAAAGATGTCATTGGCGCAGACTCCGATCTATACAAGGCTGTTGGATCACGGTACGTTTTTCTCACTCTGAGATATCTTGGAATTGGGACATCAGCTGACGCACCCCAGCATCAAGGTAACATGTGCCCCTGGCAAGAACGTCCTCGAGGGCACCCTCTTCACGGCTTGCAACCTCACCCACGCCATAGCCATCAACACCGCTCCTGCCCCGCCGAACCCCTCTGCCTCCATCTTCAGCCAGCCTGGCGACTACCACATCATCCCATTCGCACACATTGAATCTTTCGAGATCATTGGCACAGGAGAGCGGGCATCTGAGTCCGCACCGGGTTTTGATGGGGCACTCCCTAGCATCTCCAAGGTAGATCTAGCCGCGCTACAAGCCCGGGAAGACCAGACTATCCGCGAGATGAAGAAGAAGGATATGCAGAAGGGCAAGGGAGTCAGTCCCGAAGCACAGGAGCTGTTCGATGCTATATCGAGAACGTGAGTCATAGCAGAACATACAGGTACAAGCTATCTGAACTGACGCGCGTAACACAGTCTACCGACCCGATGGGCAGACACACAGATCGTCGTTAGCGACTCCGTTCTTATTCAAGCCCCATACACGCTCGACAACATCAAGGCGCCCAGCGACAAGCAGCAGGCGGAGAATCACGTCCGTAAAGTTGTCGAACGCTTCTATCAGCGTAAGAAGGGTGCGGCATCGGGAGGAGCTGCTCGCGCGCCAGTTGCTGTGCCTAACGCCCCTCGAAAGGGAGGTTAAAGCTCAGTCAACTCAGGTCTTGCGTGAGGGACGGGTCAATGTAGACCTTACATGCAGAGACCATGTCACTGGTTGGAACGTTGGTCTTGTTGGGCATGGACACGTCACTCACGAGAGACGTATGTAATGATGGTAGCAGCCATGCACTCTGCGGGACGCGCCTAACAATGGGCATACTATACAGCATTGCATTTTATGCAGAGAGCTCAGCAGCGTAACCATGTAGTAGGCATATCACAATTTCACGAAACGTCCAAAAGCCATGGCTGATATCGTGCCGTGTGACGTAATCTGGGACGAGTTATAGAAGGGGCACTCCAAGCGTGCTAGCGGCCCGACTCTTCGAGTGCCCGTTCAACTCTTAGTTCCATCAATATGTTTGTTACGTCTCACCATTCGTCGTGTGGGTTGCGCTGGGAAGCCTCAAGTTGAGGCTGTGTATGCGATGAGGCTTACCCCGCGCGTCACGTTCTGGATTGGGGCGGTGCACGAATAGGAGGCTGTATCTAAACGCCTCTTTATCAGCCTGGAGGGCCGCATCCTGATCGCACTTGGAATGGCTTTCCTTACATCTCATGGACGGTGAATTGTCTTGTTGCGTATTTGCCCTATGAATTACAGAAGATAGCTCATCGATCACCCGACCGCATACAAGGGAGAAATTAAAGAGGTACGCCAAAGCTTTCTACTGATTTACAGCCTACAACAGCACTAATGTAATTATTATCTATGTAGATATTAAGACCTAAAGTCTACATTAACTTAGGATATCTAGTATTATCCTAGAGTGTACTGGTGTAGACTGCAGTGGGGAAGACTAGTTACTCTCGCTCCTCGGAATCTCCCTTGCATATGGTAACCCGGTCGTTGACGGGCTACGAAGGCAAGCTTGCCTGTGCATACCAGACCGGTCTTTGTGCTTTATCGGCTTTCAGATGGATCCTTTGAGCATCACGACAGCTGTGGTAAGTGTTGCGAAGTGGAAGGTCTCCATCAAAGCAGCAGTGCCTAGCTGACGAGACCCCTAGCTTCGGATCACAACGACCTGCATTGTAGCTGCCAAAGAGCTCAACGAAATTCGTAACGCGTGGAAACGCGCGCCTGTTACTGTATCCTCGCTCTGTTCGCAGCTTAAACTCACGGGTGCCTCGCTCTCGCAGATCCAGTCGCTACTCCTGAGTGACACAGATGTCCTCCAGGAGAAGCCGGCACTGATCGAGACGTTGGACACGACTCTGACAAGCTGTCTGGTGCTTTCAACATGGCTTGAGAAGTACATGCTGAAGATCACAAAAGGTGTCCTTGATACCTCCAGACTAGATTGGAAAGCAAAGTTTAAGACGCTTTGGAATGATGATGAAGTCAAAGAGCTTCAGGAGCAACTGCATCAACAGCATGCTGCCATTAGCACACTGGTTGGGCTACTACAAATGTAAGTGAAGAACATTTGCAATATAGGGTAAGATGATGAGCGGGTGGCTAAGTGTCATAGGGATTCATTGACCGAGATGAAGAAACTTATCCAAAAGCATGGCAAAATGCTTCAAAGAATCGCGAATGACACTCAACGTATGCGAGAAGCTCATTCGATAGAAGCGGCGGAATCCATACTGGGTACCGATGACTCGAGCAGTATCTTCAGCAAGCTGCCGATTCGTGATGACATCAGTGACCATCATTCCGGAAGTCTTTTCGAATCCGAGGTTCTGAAATCGAATGTGTATTCGAAGGCACTGAACAACACTATGAAACAGACAGCAGATATCGAACCTGACGACGCGAACACTGTCGCTGACGATGGCATGACTATGTACAACGATGATTCAGATTGTACTATAGACTCGCCAATTACTGAGGAAGATTCGGCTTCTGCTCTAATGGCTGGAACTCCTACATTTGCTCCTTTCAGTGCTTCGTTCACAAGCGCGATCAACTATCTCCGTGTTGGAACAATCGGAGCTTTGAGCTTGGAAAACTACACTGCTCAAAGCCCTAAGGAGCTGAGTCTCAAATGCTATAACGATATCGTCGCATTACGAAAGTTGGATGAGTGGCGGTACTTGGGTAAGATCTATGAAAATGACATCCAGAGAACTGGCATAGTTGATCGTAGAAGACTCTGCGTGGAGTACCGCTTAAACGTCCCCTTACAGATAAAAGCCAGCAGGAATTCCGGAAGCGATACTTATCGGGAACGCGGCCTTCATTATCTCAAAGGGGATGCACTTGAGATCAAGGCAAGCGCCAGAAACCTCCATGATTGCAACAATTCTGACAATGACAGTCCATTGATCATAGTGTAGATTGGTTGGCGTCACCAAGCTCGTTACGATTACAGAACTTTGGGCCGGCCAAGGGTGGAATGATCATGGTCGATGCCGTCGAACTAGATGATGTTGCAGGCAAGCATGTGGATGCTATTTTAAACTTCTCGGCTTGTTCTGATATCCGTGTTGTTGGGTTGTCATCGATACAACGGGAAAAACGCATAAAGGAGATCATGCGGGAAGAATATCCTGAAACTCCCTGGAGCGTTCTAGCAGATTGTAGGACGTTTAGGGAACTGCAACTATGCGCACGGGTATGGAAAAAAGTTCGACACGAACTTTTGGGGACAAAACGTGATGTAGAACTGAGAGAGGGACTCACGCATTGTTAAAGATGTGGAAAAGAAGAGTGAAGATGTCTACGTGGTTGGAATCAATTCACATCTGGCGGACGATAATTGCTAGACGTACACCAGGCTACCTCAAAGACCTCATCACAGACCATTACTATCACCAGGTATCAGCCCTCACTCGCACCCCAAAGCAGTGCCGACAGCCTCATTCGTCCCAGGTCGACTCTACTCTGGATCGTAAGGCACCCACTCTTCTCAAACCTGGAATTGTAGTAGATCTTGTGACTGTCCAGCATATCAACAAAAGCGCCTGGTGCAGGTTCATAGCCTGTCCCCGCAACCACCAAGTTCTGACATCTAGGGCTCATCGCCCAGCCGAAAGGTGGATCGTCAAATCCCTTGAAGTTGGGTCCAGTGACGTAGCAGCTTCGCTGGCGTACGGAGGCGCTCTTCGTCTTGAGACCCTGGCCTCCGGCAGTTGAGATGACGACCCCGAGCATGCAGTCATCCAGCTTCTTGACGATGATAAACGGATAGACCTTGATGCTCACCTTGCCATACTCGGATGGTATGGTCTTGTTGGTCGAACTGCTTAGGGCCATGCGTGGTAGCGGCGCCCAGCCGATATCGCCGACACTGATGGTCTTGGGGTCGACGTTGCGAACAGACTTATACCGGTTCTGTACGATAGGACGTGGAATGGCGGAAGACGATTCTTCGAATCGAGGCGGATCAGACATGGTATTCATCTCGGAGGTCTTCGCCTTGGTGGCGCGCGGCGGGGATCTCTCATCACTCCCTCCCTCCTCGGCAGCCCTCTTCCTTTTTTCTCCCTTCTGTTCCACGCTCCCGACCGTGTTATTCCATCCTGCCACATAAGCTTCATAATTTTGAACGCGGCTTCTGAGATTCGTTGAAGCTCCCTTTAGTTCTGTTTCTTTGTGTGATAGCTCACCAAGACACGCTCCATCCCACATCATCTTGCTGTACTGAGGGATAAGTAACCTCATCCGTGCTTGCTCGAGCTCGATGGCGAGAGCTTCATTGGCGATCATGCTCTGAACGTGTTTCATATCTTCAGGAACTACAGTGGGCCATACTGGCGATATAGGCTTGTAATCAAGATGTGAGGTGTCGCCGAGGAAGTCCATGTTGACTATATTGGTTGGTGTAGTAAAGGAGGTGTACTAAAGAACGTGATTTATAAGTGAGAGACACTTATCAGCGACAAGAAAGAGAAAGAGATTTCTATCGTAGCTATCGTCGGTGAGTCTGAAAGAGAGTATATACGAAATTTCCAATTGTGTAGGGTGCAAACGCAGCATTGCCTTGGCGATGAGTGGTGAGCGATGTGACCCGCACCTTAACCGCCTCACGAACATAAAACGCGCTTTATGCGCAGAAATGAGATAACAAACGCTTATGACTGATAATGTGTTACGTAGTCAGGTCGGCTGTATTGACTATCTCTTGCGTGCTCGCTCCGACGGTCTCACGTGTGATTGGACTGAGCGTGGCGGCTATCGAATGACTGACTGACATCTGAACACGAGGGCCACCAGTGGGAACATTATCAGACTTAATCACACTAGGTAGATAGTACCGAGAACTTCGATGCTCAGGTACAGCGTATACTAACGTTCGCGAATCGCATACTGAGAGGCAGCTCATTGTTCTCGACGCAAAGTGTGAAGTTCGTACGTATTCACTCAGGTTGAGTCAGGTCTTTCATTGAGTGATGTCTTCATCCACATTTGCTCTGAACATCATGTTTTTTTCTCATTCCCGTGCTGCCATCCACCATTTTCCATACCATTCTCCAAACCACGTCCAAAACCTTGGCGCGAATCCTCTTTTTCCAGCTCCGGATGTTGAGAGCACTGCTGAAAGCCTCATCTGCTGTAGAACAAGGAAGTCCTCGCTCATCAGACTCCCTTTTTTCTGAAATCTTGTGTCATAGGGTATCATGATCACGTTCAGCATGTCAACGTAAGCGCCTGCGGGAGGGCTATATTCGCTGGAGCCTTTGACCCGAAGCCAAGTTCTAGGATGTAGTTCCTCGCCCCAGCCGGAAAAGCTGGGTTTCTGTGATGACTCGGTAAGGAGGAGAGCACTTCGGCTTTTGACAGAAGCACATTTTAGACGCAAGCCATTTCCATTTGATGTAGAAATGATGAGACCTAGCATACAATCCTCCAGCATTTCCACAACGATGAGCGGATATGATTTAGCGCAGATGTAGCCGAACTCGGTGTGAATGTCGGATGAAGACTCAGATAGTGAGGGGCGCAGAATGGGAAACCAGCCGATGTCACCGATAGCAAATTCTGTTTGCTCCACGCTCTCAACATTGGCGTATTGCTTTTTTGGCGCACACAGTGTGATACTCGAGAGTGTTTTGTCCACTTTGATGGTAGCAGTCGTGCTTCTGGGGACAGTGGCTACGACATCCGAAGTCGTACTGGCTTGGAGATCCTTCGCGGCGGTTGTAACTTCGGAAGGTATATCTGCGACCTCAACCTGAGCAGTGGTGACCGTGATGGACGTGGTATCAGCTGCAGTAGGTGCAGTAGTGGCTATAGTGGGTGCAGACAAAGGGGTGGTAGTCATAGTTCCGGGTGCAGGTATAGGAGACCATCTTCCGATCCCAGGCATCTCGATGTCACTCTTAGCGGCACGGTTCGCCGCTTTTATCGCTGCCAACGCCTTCGAACGAAGGGAGATGATCCAGGACTCATGCTCTTGGATTTTGTTTCCATACTCTTCGATGATGTTGTTGAGGTCCTGTATCTCATTGTCGTCTTCCACGGCATCTATCGACTTGATAGGCTCGGTTTGCATTCGTTCCTTCGCTTGTCTGATGTTTTGAAGCTCTTGCTCTAAGGCAGCGCGATTGGTGGTGAGCTGGACGAGTGAGAGACCAATAGTGGTAACATCCCCCAACGCTTCTGCTTCAGTGGACATGACTTGTGATAGTTCTGGGATCGAGACTACTGGTACGTGAGAGTCTTCAGGCACACGTTCTATGTGAGGCCTTCCCGCCGTAGTCATGTATCGTTTTTCATCGGCCCTGAGCTTTGTCTGGTAGTACTGACATCTGGCCTTGATGTATGACATACACTCATCTTCGATCGTGTCGCCCAGTCGTGCGATCGCCTGTTCATATTCCGCAACTAGGATCATCAGTCTCTTGATTCTTGACCCTAGCTCCGAGAGCTTCAGCTTCGAGGGCACTGCGACCTTCAGAGGCTCTGCCATACTGCTATGAATGCCAAGAACTCTTTGCACGGAGATGTTATTGAGTGAGTTCTTGCTTCCAGGTAGTCACGGCGATCTATTGCAGTGCGTGGAAAGGATGTGATGCGATGGTGACTCTGGGAGTGCGTTGGCGTACAAAGCTCAAGTGAGAAATTTGGAGATGACGACTCAGTGTTCAAGAAAATATTTGCACACGCTCTTTTCGCTCCTCTAAGCCGCCTTCACCTCCGCGAGAGATGGCCGCATCTCCACCGCTTTGTGACGCGGACATACCAACAATGGGGTTGTAAGCTACCAGCGGACTAAATATCTTGGAGCCTCGATGGCTGCTGCCGTAATCTTCACGACAGTATGACTACGTATGTTAGCTCCTCTCGAATTATTGCTGTTCTCACTCTCACCCAGCCTCCCTCTTCTCCAAGTCAATCTCCGCACCTACAAACACCCCTCAATCGCCTTCCTAATCTCCTTCGGCTTCGCCCCCGTAACCCCCTCCATAATATCCCCATCCTTGAACACACTAAACGTCGGCATAGACCTCACCCCCAATTCCTGCGCAATATCCTCACACTCTTCAACATCATACGTGTAGAACTTGACATTTGGGTACTCAGTCACCATCTTAGCGACTTCGGGCGCGATGATGTGGCAGTTTTTGCACCAAGTCGCTGTGCCTTCGAGGATCGTGACGCCTTCGTACATGACGGCGCGGAGATACTCGGCTTTGGAGTGGAGGGTGGGTATTTCTGGGTGGTCTGAGGACATGGTGATGATGATGTGTGGCTTTGCAGGATATCGATGGGCGACAAGATCGTGGTTGCTTTTCTTTGTAAGGGTACTTTGGAGTCGGGGGAGATTGGATGGCTGGGGTGGAGGTGTGGGGAAGGAGACAACAGGGTTGGTGACGTCATCGCCTAGTGCCACGAGAACACCATGCCGGATGCATCGTCAACGCGATCATTGCTTGAGGCCTTCTTGAATCTCTACGAAATTCCAGTCGTCTCCGCTGGAAATCACATACCAACAGAACGATGAAGCTATACCGGTTCCACTAGCACGGCACTTGTAGAGCATTTGCTCCAAGGCAGTAAATAAGTGTTGAAAGACATTATATTCATCTCATATGGTATCATAAATGCATTCTTCCTCTCTTGAGCATCTTCATCCCTTACTCGCCCTTACCCTGCTTTCCGTAGAAGGCATCCTCACCACCGAGCGCCTTGAGCGCCTCAGCAGACTTCTTCTTGGACTCCTCGCTAGTGTCTAGCCAGACGTTAGTTTTCTTTTTCTGTAGTGATGCCATCATATATAACGAAGAAGAAACATACTGGGGTTGCTCAAGTTGGCCTTGTGTCCAGAAGCCTTGTTGCTAATGTCCTCTGTAGTGTTGTTGATGTTCTGGTCCGCCTCGCTGAGACCGGGGGCGGTGATGCCCTGGTGAGAGATTCCTTGTCCAGACATGTTGATGCGGAAGTTCTGTGTAGTTTGATTTGTTCGGGGTGGTGAAACAGTCGAGAAGAATGGTGTAGATTCGTTTGATGAGTATATGATGAGGTTGTACAATACAAGTCAATGCCACCTTTATATACCTACGTCCTACACACCCAGCCCAGCGCCTCATGGCACCTCCACATTACGTCTTTTGCGACTATGACGCTTGAGCACCGATGTCATACTTGTCTTGGCATGAACCTACCTGCTCCACCGAGTCCCAGGTACAGTCGGCACCGGCACGGGGACCAGTACGCGCTAAAGGAGCCGAGACCCGAACATGTGTGGTTCAATGTCTCATCGCATCAGGGCTCGCGTAGATTCGGGAATTTGCAGAAACCGGTTGTGGATTGTTCGCTCCGCGTGCAAGCCTCCTGGACGTTATGACCGCATGTGGTGTGGTCGATCATCGTAGTGGTGGTCGGGAAAGACGGCTCGATCGGCCCTTTTGATATCGAGGGTCTGGCGAATGACAATTAGACTGGCCAGCGGAACACCGATGTCGAAATGATCTGAAAGACGAGTTTTGTGCTGTTGTCAAAACAAAGCAAGAGGGACATAGGCGTTCCTCTGCGGATTTGCGACGCTTTCAATATTGTGACCACCCTTCACTCTACTGATATCAAGCTGCGCTTCCCTGCACTACGTGTATCATCTATGTTACAACTCACTGTGCTCAATCTCAGCATCCTTCTCCTTCTTCTCCCTCCTCTGCTCTTCCTCTTGTACATCCACCACCTCTTTCCTCTTCTCCCCCTTAACCCTCCTTGCCAACGCTGCAATCTCCTCATCATACACGTTCCACTCTGGAACCTGCCGCCTTGCCCGATCCAACTTGGGCTCCTTGGTCTGTGGGTTGTTGCACAGATCAATAGTCTTTGCTTTGGCAAGATCTTCGTCGCTGCACCATGTCTCGCACCACAGCCACTCTTGAGGCAAACTGTGAATGGGCAGATTGAACTGCATGTTATTTGGCAAATCCTGGTCTAAGTTGGAAAGCGAGTTGGGATCGGCGGAGAGGGAATGGTATTGCTGACGCAGTCTGTCACCGGCGGCCAGCTGGCGGAAGCGGTTGAGATCTACAACGTAAAGTGCGGAGATGTGATATGGCCTACCACGCAAGAAGTTCGCCCAGTAACCTGTCTTCCAGAAGCGGAAGCCTTCCATCTCGGTACGTGAGTCGCCCATGGGTGTGAAGCCGTAAGGTGCGCCTTCGAGGTCGTGCTGCACTAACTCGAACATGTCGGTCCTTACGATCTGGTCGGCATCGACGAAAATGACCTTTTCAAGATCTAGGGGGAACAAGACATCCAGGAAGAGGATCTTGTAACCCCAAATTTCGCGTTGCTTCTCGGTTTGTCCACGGAGCCAGTGAGGCCACTTGTATGTGACCATCTCGTATTCGAATCCGTACTCAGCAGCGATGTGCGGGAGGAAGGACTTGAAGTCGGGAGACAGGAACTGCTCAATGAACCAGAATTTGACAGTGTGTTTTGTATGCTTCATAACAGATACCATCATAATGTTGAGCATGCGCTCGTACAAGTGGCCTGACGCGACGGAGAAGATGTTAATGTCTGCTTGAGTGCCCTTCTTCGCTGTCTTGCCTCCAGAGAACAAGTCGGCACCCTTTTGCAGGACCTTTTCAGAGTCGAAGTTGAGGCCCATCTTGCCGAGAAACTTGTTGACCTTCTGTGCGCTCTTGCCGACCAGCTCAGAGGCGAGCGATTCCTCGGGAGCAAGTACATCAGTGTCTTCCTGGCCCGGTTTGCGTGAAAGTCGGGGAAAGATTGTTGCGCCCTGGAAGCTCATAAGTGCGATCTCGGTAGTTTCATCACCAGGCTGAGGAGTCCAGCTGATCGGACCTGCACTGTCAAGGTTGAAGACTTCTTGAGAGCGGCCACTCTTGAGCTTGATGTTGTAGAATCCAGGGTTGGCTTTGAACTGGAAGTAGCCTAGGTTGGCCATGATGATGGTATCGGCAAAGTGAGGGTCGCGCTCAGTGGCAAGGACAACCTCAGCACCACGTGGCGGCTGTCCACCATTTGTGGTGTCGCGAGAGTGACCCTCGATCAGAATGCTCTCCAATCCATATATAGCGTCGATGTTGGTGCCAGCAGGGGTCGTGCTAAGCTTGATATTGTCGAGGTCATGTATAGACTCTTCAGGAGCGACGAGCCATGATGGTGGCACATCCATGCCGAGGTTCAGCAGGGCTTCCTTGGGGATGCCGCCGAAGTGAGCTCCCAGACGGCCAACAGATCCATCGTGAGTGAACTGTGGACGGGCTTCGAGAACGTATCTATAGAAACGCTTGACAGGAAGTTCCTGCAGCATCCCTTTGGGGTTCAAGAAAAGTTTAAGGTGTACGCCATCCATGTCACTAAGTACCTTGAGGATAGGTACCCACTTTTGTGCCTGTTCAGTAGCCGGATCGATGGAAGCCACAATCTGGAAAACAGCTTTATCTTCGTCGCCCCTGACAATAGCGGTGTACTTGGACTTCCAGTCGTTGTATGTGCTCATCCTCAAAGTGGATGCAGTCTCGAATATGCCTTCTGGAACATCTGACACAGTGGACAGCGCAACAAGCGATTGTATCTTTGCAACGTCTAGAGGAGACGCGATCTTGTCCATAAGTTGAAGATCGGCAAGCGCCTTGTTCAAAGGCTCAATGCGCTTGGTAATCTCATAGGTGACAAAAGTCTCCATGTCATCCTGTGAGAACGTGTAGTCCTCTGGGATAGGACCAACATAGCGGCCATTGACAAGTAAGCCATTTTGTCCTGGCTTCAGACCGACAGCGTCGTATATCGGCTCAGCAATCTTCCAGAACAAGGTTGAATTGGCGGGAGTGGGTCCATAATTGACCTCTTTGCCCAGGAGTCCAGACAGGGCTTCGCTGGTGAGCTTGCGACCGGATTTGATGTATGTTTCCAATAGATCTTCTGAGGCGTTGGATTGCTCCGCACCTGCTTTATCGTTATGTATGAGGACGGCCTCAACATTCGGGTTGGCCTCATGGAAATCTGCTAGAGCTTTAAGAAGCGCAAACCCAGCCTCAGAGTCGAAGTCCGCTACCAGCGTGATATGAATCCAGTCACTCTTGCTAGCAGACTTTGACACATCAAGTCGCGGCATCTTACTGTAGGCTTCGCCATGTACCTCTTCAAACTCCGCCATGTTTATGAGCGTGATGTTCTTCTCATTCTCTGGGATGATCAAAGGATTGCGTTTAGCAGCGGCTTGGAACAAGAAGTATTGAGGAACCCAACTATCGTCATTGAAGACGCCGTTGAAGACACCCTTCTGAATCTGACGCAGATCCATGCCGATCCTTTGGCTGAGTGTTTGGAGCCATTCATCGGTCGCTGGAATGGGAACACCGTTGACAAAGATGGGAGCTTTCGGGCCTTCTGCTGCTAGACGCTTCAGGTACTGTTTGGCACCTGAGATACGTTGATCCAGAGCTTCGGACTTGAGTACATCATCGAATGCCAACGCTTCCTTCCCTTCGATAAGTGTAGTTCTTTTGACCGTTGTGTCAAAGACAGCTTTGTCGGGTTTCGCCGCAGACTACTCGTGATGTCAGCGCAAAATACGTGCATACCCAGACAGACCAACACTCACAACTTGTAGGTATTCTATCACAGCAGGTAATCCGTATGCATCCTGCAGATGATAGACTAGCTTAGTCTGGTCTATAGCCTCCGATGTGGCAGTCTGTGGAACGAGACCCCAGCGTAGGGGGATGCCACGCCTGATCAGACTCATTATAGTATCCAGAGCGAGCGAAACATCTTCAGTAGAGGTAAAGTCAACGGAGACGATGGCGTTGTGAATGTCCCTTCGACAAGACGGGAGCTGGCCAGGGTAAGTTCTTTGCAGCAGCTGCAATCACGATTAGTCCGAAATCAATGTAGTTGATAGTTGTACTGACAGCTCTGAGCTCACTTGGCCATCCCTCGTACATGGGGTCGTTTTCGATGTCGTTAAGCCATAAGATGACGTTGCCCCCTTCAGTAGTATCCCTGAAGTCATAACGTTGAGGCTCGTCTTCCGTCTGGCTCTCCGCAATGGAAGCATGTGATAGCAAAGATACAACCTCGGAACCGCTCAAACCCTGACTGCGTATTCCATTGATCAACTTCCGCTCGCGTCGCAAATGCGCCAACAGCGAGTACGGATTCACATCGCGAGCCGGGATCTGTACGCCGTTGATCCACATGACGTTGTAACCAGCAGGAAGAAGTTGGTTGCGATTCGCCAAGTGTTCCTCAACAAATTCATCCGACGCGTTATGAGCTGCAATAACGGATGAGTACTTTGGAAAGTCCTGCACAAGCTTCATGAGGGTGTCCATTGGCTGTTCGCTTTGAGCCACAAAGTCGGCAGCTTTCAATGCTAGTTCGGATACCTCGTCCTTGGACAAGGGCTTGAGGTCCGCGACATCTTCATCGTCGTCCAAGCCAGTGCCTATCGACTTCTGAGCATCACTCTTCTGTCCCTGCTCAGCCTGCCTGTCATCTATGACGATGTAGTCTGTCCGCTTCAGCTGCAACTCGACACCGTATCCGTTGACTATCAATGGTGTTGTTGGCGCGTTGGATGAAGGCTTATGCCGGACACGGTACGACGTCTTTCCTTCCTCGGCCGTCTTGCTCAATGTCTTGTGCCACTTCTTGAATCGAGGAGCAGTTATATCGGCGTATAGGATGGCAGGCAGAGCCGAGCTGTTGCCAAGTATGCGGTCGAAGGGTAGTTGATATGTCCTGTCCAGTACTTAGCACCTGTCAATCGAGTAAATCCCCAGTACGTACCGTTCGCTCTCAATGCCCCCAAAAGACTCCTCCAGATGTACATCGCAGTATTGCTTCCCGTGGAACGATGTCCAGATGTCGCAAGCCTTGGTCTGTGTGGCTTCCAGCGATGGCTCCACCGAAGTCTTGTAGAATTGGTAATGTGCTTCTATCCGTGGCGCAGCCGACTGGATTGACAGGGCGAATTCGAATGAGGCAAGAGCTGCGGGGTCGGTGATGTGTCCATCGCTCTGGAGGAGGTCTCGAAAGGCCGTGTACAGCTCCTGCTGTGTGTCCTTTTCGTCGAAGTAGCCCTCGGAAATGCGGTCGAGTATGGGGTAGTATGCTGTCGCGTTTTCTTCTGCAGCGGTTTCACTGGTGGTT